GTTCGCACAGAAATTGTTTAGCGACTGGGGGTCAACCCTAAACCTCTCACCAAAGACCTACAATTAATTACCGCTAATGGAGCCCCTATCAAGGTAAAAAACTCCGTCCCACTTTCCGTGACGCTACAAGGTTTCACCTGCAACCATTCGTTTGTCATGTGTGAAACTGTACAATGGGACATCATGCAGGGGTGGATTTCCTATCTGCCCGACAAGCTGTCATAGACCTAGGACGTTTTCGAATCCGGCTGGGGGCACATAACCTCTCACTTGGTCGCTCATTAGTCACAATCAGAGTGCCAATGCTTGTGCTTTACCTCAGGTGACTAATGTGAATATCCATGCTAACCCCCACCTCAGCCTGAAAGACCGTACCGACACTCTAACCCTGCTGCAAGTACACAGGGACGTGTTTGATAGTGGTCACGTGATGGGGCGCACTAATATTGTTCAACACGAGATTAAGACGGGGGATAACCTGCCCATTAGGACGCCACCTCGGCGGGTCCCCATTCATTACCAGCAACAGTTGGACGCAATGATAACAGACATGCTAGGAAAGAAAGTAATTAAACCGTCTACGTCACCATGGGCATCTCCTATTGTACTCGTGAAGAAGAAAGATTGCTCCCTCCGTCTTTGCGTTGACTACCGCAAGTCGAAATTCATCCGGAAGACCGACCAAAAACTGCATTTTTTGTGCCCACGGGGTTACACGATTTTGAAACCATGCCATTTGGCTTGTCTAATGCCCCTGCTACGTTTCAACGACTCATGCAAACAGCACTTGCAGTGTTAGTCCCTAAACATTGCTTAATATACCTGGATGACATAATCGTGTTCGGGCAGTCCCTTGAAGAACACCATGCCGAGATTCGAGCCGTATTTCAACGTCTACGCGAGAGTAATCTTAAGTTGAAAGCATCAAAATTCCACTTCCTGCAGAAATCTGTTACTTTCCTTGGTCATGAGGTTACTCCATAAGGAGTGAGCACAGACAGAAGCAAAGTACAAGCAATCCTCAACTGGCCTACTCCTAAATCGACGACAGACGTCCGTAGTTTCTTGGGGCTTGCATCTTACTACCGTCGCTTCGTTCAAAACTTCGCCAATAAAACAGCCCCTCTTCATCGATTAACTGAAAAGGGACGGAAATTCGCTTGGGCTAACGAGTGCCAGGTAGCATTTAGTACGCTTAAAACATGTTTGGCTTCTCCTCCTGTTTTAGCATTCCCAAATACGTCGCCGGACAGCGGACGCTTTATCCTGCATACTGACGCCAGTGCGCACGCGATAGGAGCCATCCTTTCACAGACAACTCTCACGGACATGCACGAGTGATGGTGTATGCTAGCCAGACGCCGGACAAAAGAGAGACGGTATTCTGCTACGCGCTGTGAGACGTTAGCCCTTGTATACTTTCTCACTACCGCCTTTACTTGCTGGGGCGCAAGTTTCGTGTCCGAACTGATCACAAGGCGTTACAGTGGCTGCAAAACTTTCGTGATGCCGAAGGCCAACTCGCCCGCTGGCGGGAACGTTTACAAGAGTTTGATTTCATCTGTGAGTACCGGCCCGGAGAACGACATGGTAACACCGACGCCCTCTCACGCCTGCCAGACTGTGAAACCACAATAAATGTATTACTTGATGCTACAACTGATATTGACTGGGCCTATCCACAAGCGGAAGACAGAGATACAACCTATTTATTTACGACAACAGCGCGGCAACAATAAACCGACGGCCAAACAATTACAAGACCTGCCAGCAGCTACGAAGAGCATCTGTGGTAGGTGGGGTCTCCTTCATCTAATTAATGACGTCCTCTACATGGTGGAACCGAATTCTAACCCATGACTACTCGCTCCAAGCGCCAAAGCACAGGAGCTTATTAGCCAAGTACACCATCAACTTGGGCATGCTGGTCAACACAAGACTGAACACGCGATCCGTCAACTCTTCTGGTGGCTGTTACTTCACCGAGATGTAATCGAGTTCTGTAAAAATTGTGACTTCTGTAACCGTAACAAACAGCCTACGACAACGCCTATAGCACCACTCGTACCTATGCTAACGGAAGCACCGGACCAGCGCGTCGGGGTCAACATAATGGGGCCACTCCCAACTACCAAAATAGGTAACCGCTATATCTTAGTGATGGTTGATTACTTTATAAAATGGTGGGAAGCAGTACTTTTACAACGATAAGATGCAAATAGTGTAGTCCAGGCGTTCATTGACAATTGGATTACTCGTTTTGGTGCCCTTCATTCACCGCATTCAGATCAAGGTGCTGCCTTTGAAAGTCGACTTGTTCATCACATCTGCAACGTATTTGGCCTTCGGAAGACATGCACGACTGCTTATCACCCAGAAGGAAACGGGTTGGTGGAACGTACTAATCGAACACTCAAGAATTTCCTACGTGCTTTTTTCGATCGCTTATCAACTGACGCTTGGGATGAGACACTGACTCAATGTCTCCTGGCTTAAAAAACAAATGTCTGTTGATGCTTATTCTGATGTTAATGCTTTAAACAAATCATTTATCAAGAAACAAATTAATATGGTTGTACCTGATGTACCTAGTCAAGAAAGTGGTCATTTTCCGGGTTTTAAAGAAAAGGATGTACTATTATGTTTGAAATCATTAAATCCAACACACAGCCTTGGTCCAGATGGTGTACCAAGCATTCTTCTTCAAAAGTGTGCAGACATCTTGTGTCATCCTCTTACTCAAATCTTTAACGCATCATTTAACAGGGAAACGGTACCTGCTGACTGGAAAGAAATCAAGGTTGTACCTGTACAGAAATCATCTTCTGGAGCAGGTATAAAGTTTAGACCGGTCGCTATAACATCTCCTTTTTTGAAAACTATGGAGAAACTTCTTTTGAATATTCTTAAACCTTCTTTAAAAGCTTTTAGTGACCCTAAGCAGTTTGCTTATAAGTGTGGAAGAAGTACATTAGATGCAGCCATTGTACTACACCACAATATTGTTTCCTGCCTTGATAAGGGTGCTAAGTTCGTTCGAACAGCTTTTTTAGACTATACTGCAGCTTTCGACTCTGTTCCTAGGACACTTTTATTAGGAAAGATGATTTCAGCTCAAACAGAGTCCTGGGCAACTAGATGGCTGTCTTCTTATTTTAAGGATAGGAAACAGCATACTGTTTTGGCTGGAAAGCGCTCCACTTCTCAGCTAACTGAAAGTGGTGTGCCTCAAGGTGCAGTACTTTCTCCATTTCTTTTCTCTTTCTTTTTGCATGACCTTCCGAACTCACCCAAAGTTAACTTCATTAAGTATGCTGATGATCTGACCGTTTCTGTCCCTGTAGTTTCCACATCGGATTGTTCCCATATGAATGGCTTCTTAGCTGAAGTTAAGGATTGGTCTGGCTCAAATGGTCTTAAACTAAATCCAACTAAATGTAACACTGTTGATTTCAGCTTGAGAAGTGAAAAAGACATGCATGGATTGATCCAATCTCATGATTGTTGTAATATTGATGGTACCATGATAGAGAGTAAGTCAAGTGTTTCTTATCTTGGCATTAGTTTCTCTTCAAACCTTTGCTGGTCGTCTCATATTCTTATAGTTTCTAAGAAAGTTTTCCGTCTGACTTATTACATAAAGAAGCTGAGGCACTCAGGTATAACCCAATCTCTTATCATACAATTTATTAATTCATGTGTTTTGCCCATCATTCTTTATTGTTCTCCATTATTCTTCCCTGGGCTAATCAAGAAAGACCATATAATACTACGAAGAACATTGAGGGCTGTAAGTAGGGTCAGTGCTATCCCTTTGACTCAACTAAATGACACTGTTGTCAATAGGCATATGAATTCTTGTAAACACTTAGCTAAAGTTATCTTATCTGATAGTGAACATCCTCTTTATTCACAATTGTTTCCTTGTATCTCTTCGGGTAAGACCAGAAGAAATTTTATAAACATTTATGCTCGTACTACAAAATATAAAAATTCGACCGTACCATATTTGGCACGAGTATTGTGTGAAGAGACAAATATCAGAAAAGAACTTTTACAACTTTTAAATCATTAACTAAACTATAAAATGTAATGATGCATATTAATGCATGTGTTATTTGTTATATTATCTATTTATTATTCACTATGACCTAGCAATGGTGTGATTTTGTTGGGGTTTTATTTTTTTCCTATTAACTATCAATATTTTAACATTTTATACATTTATATAATTATAAACAGAGCTAAACCATTGCAATATGTAAAAGAAACGCTGAAAATTCCATGCTGTAAATTGTTATTGTTGTGGAATAAAGTGATTATATTATTATTATCATTCTTCCGTGGCCAAGAATTACTCCTTCCCATCGAAGTCCAAGTCCCTTCCCTACCCTCTGAAAAGATTGACCATATCGCTTATGTCCGGCAACTACGCAACCGTTTGGCAATTGCATACGATCTAGCGCGCACGCAACAAAAGTCTTCAAGTTACCATCAGAAGAATGTGTATGACCGTTTCGCTCGTGGCCCAACTTATGCTGTCGGTGATCACGTTTGGCTTCACCGTCCTCCTGGACCAAATGCAAAACTCTATTCCCCATGGCAAGGACCCTTCGAGACCGTGAGGATGTGTCCACCCACAACTTACTTCTTGAAAAATATTCAGCAACCGAATGGCGATATTATTCCTGCTCACTATAATCAACTCAAGCCGCCCTCTCATGATGAACCACCACCCGTCAGCTGCCAATATGAAGTCCCAATCGTTGGAGGTGCAGGCTGCCCAATTCCATCCTTGGGCACTGAGGAAAGTGCCTCCAGAGGAAGGGGGCAGTGTAAGAGAAACGAAACCCACATCATAACACTAATCAATGTTTTGTTTTCTCTACTTGCCGGAAGACATCCGGGAGTCAACTAACTGGACCAGGAGATACAGGAGTTGCAGAACCTAAACATTAATGAAGCTCAGTGAAACTGTTATACCCCAAAACTGTACCCCTGCACTTTTTAAAAGTCAATTTCGCGGAATAAACGCTCTCCTGCGCAGATCATGTTTTGTTTTCATTACCTGTGTGCCTACTGGTTTGCCCGTTAGAATTTTAGTGGGAGACAGGCATTGGGCATTGGACACTGACGTCACATTTCCGAATGAGTACGTAACTCTGTTAAGCAGTTTTAATATGGTTTAATTGGGTGTGCTGTAGTGTACACAGTCTCTTTAAAGTGACAGTAGTTATAAAAATGATGTTTTGACACAAATTTCTTATATTGTAATCATCTTAGACAATCATGAGCAGAACTTCCTGCAGTTATTCGTATTAACTGCTCATGAAATCTGGCTAACAAAAACAAAAGTCCATTCAGTAGTAGTAAGAGAAAATTTTTTTAAACAGGGTATGTTCTCACACTGGCTATCGTAAGGTGTAATGACTTGAAGAAGTGACCAGCCGAGTAAACTTGGACTACAACGCCTTTAAAGGCGTTATTTAGGTAGAAATCCTTATAACAAGTAAATTCCGCACAAAAGAATGTTTCTTCACGATGGAAATCTCTTTTATGTACTCATATTGTATCCCGGTCATTATTGGGGCTCTTAAAGTTAGTCAAACCCACTTTTTTACTCGAAGTTATCAAGATGATTGTACATCGTGTCTTTTGATGACCTATTCATTGTCTCCGTACTGTTCTTCACATCGTTTTGTGAATTGGGCGTACGTCTCATGCATTTGGAAAAAATAGGAAGGGTGGTTTTTAACGCTGTGAATGTGTCAACAAAGCCATTTAAGGTCGATTTGTTTGTCGTTCTTTTTCGTCGCTATGCTGAAGTCGCCCTCACTTTTTCGTTAAAGCCTTTGTGTGCTATTTTCATGGTTGATGAAATTCACGTAACATTTTCTAAGTGGACATGGGTCGGAATAAAGGATGAGGAATACTGATAACAGTCAGTTCTCCGGTTGCTTAATTTTTCTACCTCAGTACAAGGCTGTAATTCTCTCATCCTCATAACTTTAAACTGTGTTTGGGTCCTATGTTGCTTACCTTTTAGGTGTGTTTGGATTTTACTTTACTGAATTGATAAATTGAATGGCTTGGACATCTTGGACGTAAGTCGTATTCAAAGTCTGTAATTTCTTTGTGGCTTCCATGTATGCTAAGGGATAAAATTTGAAGTTCCTGGAGATTGAATCCTTATTTGGTTACCCTGTTTTGGGATTTTTCTTCACCACTACTATTGTTGTCTGTGCCTTCTACCTTCATTCTCTTGGTAGTGTTATTTTATTCCTGTAACATTTTACGCCGCTGCTATTGCGTTGGAGTTTAAGTCTTTTTGAGATAGCATATAAGCTATCATGTTAGTGAACTTGATTATGTCTCTCTTTTTATTTGATGTCAACTGGCTTTTACTTTTCTCTTACTTTCGCACTCCAACTACTTACTTTTGTTGGAAATTTAAACATCATTATACCGACTAAAATTGGATGAGTACTTTGCTGATGTTATCTTACATTATTTTCAATTTACATGCTCTTGTGGTAGCAAGTACAATGGCAGGACTGAAACAAGTGCTTTTATTTGGTTTTCTGTGCACATTGCAGGACGATTGTGCTTAGGGAGGGGGCCCTATTAGCCTTCCTCACTCCTACGAAGTATCATAGATGCAGAGGATCACAGGATTACTCTACTCTGTGAAGGCAATCGCAACAAAACGTTTTCAACCGAATTTATACAGAAAGTGTGGTCTATTTCTAACTGCTTCGGTAATCATATTTTCGTTTTGATTGTGTTAGTTGCAAAACACTCACGTGTAGTCCTTTTGGTAGGTAACTTCAATGTCTAAGTAGAGAAACTACCAGTCACAAAAGTATGCTGGCAGCACTTATAGAGCCCCATGATGCTAAATTGATAGCTGTGATATTCTTTTACAGTTCTGTTCAGACAATCCTCCGTGCATCGTCAACACTAACTTCAAACGTAATCGGAGGCATCGCCTCACTTGTCAGCTCCCATCAAATCGGAGACAGACTGAAATAGATCAGATAGCTATACGTTATAGATGGAAAGTGTTGGTATAGGACTGCAGCTTCCACTGTAACTAAGGTTGTGAAGGCTTTCCCTAATCTGAAACGAGACAAAGGATTGAAACCTGATGGAATGATTCCAGAGATGCTTAAGAATAGTAGTGACCAACTGTTTTCCAGCTTAACGAAGATAGTAATGCATATGAATCAGAGATAGTCCTGTTGAAGTGGTGTAAATCACTGATTACCCCAATTCATAATAACACAGATAATCCTTCCTGTAATAACCAAAGAGGGAATTAGCTTGACTAACACAGTATCTAAAATTATGGGTTCAATAGTCCTGCTTGGAATAAGTGTCACTTGAGAGGATCAGAACCTTTGAGATCAGCCAGGCTGTGGGTCTGGAGGCGGGTATGTTGAAAATACCTTCACTTTTCGATACATTCTTGAACATAAGCATACCGGCGTGAAACACTTGCCATATTTCTCTATCTGAAAGTAGTATTTGATTCTTTCGACCGAAGGGTGCTGTGGTTATTTCCGGGTATGAAAACGTTGAGGAAGCCTATTACACTAACGAGTACACTATTATAACTCCCCCAGCCGTGGAACACCTTATGCAGAGTTTTCATCAGAAGCTATGGCAACCAGAGGTGTCCGTGAAGGTTGCCCGACATCGCCATTTTCGTTCATCACAACCGCACTAATCGATGTGACGCTAGTTAACTTTAGCTAGTTGCGAACGATCTAGAGTATACAGATAACATTGTCCCTCTGGGTGAAGATGCTGACAAACTGCAGTCTTTTGAACACCGTATATGTGGTATTTGATTCACCATATCAAATATAAGATAATGTTGCAGGACTCGTGTGCATGGACTCCAAGTGTAAAGATACGAAGTGAATGGTTGGGCATGTTGACCAATTCACTTAATTGAGAAGCTTATAAGCCCTGATGGACTGACTGCTGACGATATCTCAGCGAGGATATGAAAGGCTCATTTGACATTTGCCAACTTACTTCACATCTGGAGTAGACGTGATATACGGATATCGATCACTCCGTCCTTCTTTACAACTATGAGATGTGGCCATTGAAAGTGGAAGAAGTGAAGAGGTATTTTGTCTTTTAACATAGATGTCTGCGTGCTATCTTCCGCGTTTAATTGTATAATATAGTAATGCTCAGGTTACACGTAGTGTCAGGTAAGGCGGGAAAGTTAGTGGATGAGCTTGTGAAGCTACATAAATTGAGATGGCTAAGAAACGATAAGTATTTCGGGCCATCTTCATCGGTGAGCAATGTTAGGTGACATGAGATTAGGCTGGAAGGAGTTAGAGATGGTCGGGTCAAAACCTGCCACCAGTGCAAAAAGTGTTTGCCGGTGGTTTAAGACAGGTAGAGAGATGTTGACTCCCGGTCGGGGTCCTCGAGACACTATTTATTTATTTATTTAAACGCATAAAAACTTGGTACAATATGGCACCAAGAAGGATGAGCCACACAATAACAATGAAATAACATAGATCAAAAGAAAAAAAGAAAGAAGAGAAAAATATATATATATATAAGTAGAGAACGGTTAAAGAACTTCATCTGGAAAGAAAACAAGTTCAAACAGTATTCGTTAACTATCATCGGAAAGGGAAGAAAGAAGGAAATTGCAACACGTGTAATAGCACGCTATAAGTTTCATTGATTGTTTGTTGCTTTATTCAATTCATTGTGTGAGGGCTGAGATGCTTCCCGGGCGCCTGCCCAGACCAAAGCAGGTGATTTTCTTAAGGGACCACCCCGAGCCTTTGACTTGGAGTCTAATCCGCAAGGCAGTGGAGCAGCGTCAGGAGCTGCACTCCCATGGTTGCCGGTGACCAGTATAGGTTCATACGCCAATGGATCCGAATGAAGCCCATGTACACCCCCGTGGTAACTGCTTTTAGTTAAACCGCTATTCAAACAACCTTCCTGACATGGTAGGATCCGCAGGGACAGGTCCCAGTCAGTTAAGCATGTTGGGTCATTACGGGTCACTACAAACAAATGACTTGAAACTGTTAATGACTTTGGTCGATATCGTTCTCAATGGTGTAGGTTCGTTGACCATTAAATCTTCATTGTTCTCCGTATTACTATTGTTTCTCTCATAGATTTCCGTGCACTATATTTCCTCTTGAATTTTCCCTTCTTTGTGTTTCTTAAGTGCTGCACTTCTATGCTAAGTTCTACTTTAAAAACTTATTCAGTGGATTAAGTGCACGATCCTTTATTTTATTAATTCCAACTCACTGAAACAGACTTCATTCTTACAGAATCCAATATCTCAGGTTGTTGCGTAACCCCAGAGGTAGCAGTAATTATCGCCTTTCCTGCCTCCCCTCTCCCATGGTTTTGCACTTCTTGAAACTATTTGTAATGTTCACTCGTTATTAGCTTGAATTACAGATTCTTCAATTTATAACATTTTCAACATTTGAAATATGTTATTATCTCCTATCTACAGGTAATGACCTCTGAATCGGATAGTTCAGTGGATGACTATAAATATGCTTTCGAACAATATTATCACACAGCTTCATCAGGTGGATTTGCGATGCATACTTTTTCATCTCCCACTCTGATCAATATTCGACGATATTCCCACAATAAAGATGAAGTGAGTTAGTTTTAAAAAGAAATTCTCTTGCATGGAAACTTTTTAGTACTTGCTGTAAGCTTTTTTTTTTAAAAAAAAGGTATTTTTTTCTTAGTGAAAAGTTGTAGTTGACTTAGGAATGCGGTCTTGGATTATAGGGGTGTTGGGCTCGAATCCCACTCCACATACTTTAGTCTGTGCAACTGAGTGGTGGCATCATCAGGCTTAATATAATAAGTATGGTTCATGTTCTGGTACATGAAAAATCTATTCTTGGTAACTAAGTTCAAGCACAAGCAGTTATATAGGGTAATACATTATTTGATACATGACACGTAATAAATATATGCGTTGGTGGCACAGCGGTAGGATTCTCACCGACCACATCTATCTGTCTGTCTGTTTTTCGACATAAAACTTTGCACCGATGTGCAACAGTTCAAGTCGCCACACTCCATGTAGCACACACAGCAACAGAAGAAAGTAGAAGAAATGCATAATAGAGACAGTAAACAGAGGTGTGAGACACAGGAATATTAATAATGAAGAACAATATAGTTTCATTGGAAATCATAAGTCACAGGGAGTAGATGCATCTGCGCCAGCCATTGACAACAATTTTGAGCCATATCATCGATTGTTTCCAGCCATTGGTGTTTACCGTCCCGAAGACCCCAGCCAGTCAGGAAGTCTACACCTTCCTACGTGACTAGCTTAAACTAACTGTTGTAGATTTCATTGACTGGTGACATGTTTTGGTTTGACCGCCGCTTGCTCTTTTCCAGCCTGACCCTATGTCAGCTAACACTGCCAGCCGGTCGAGGAAGGCGATGACTAGGCATACGTAACACATGTCCTGACCATCTCAGTCGACGTAATTTCACAACCTCGTCTATCGATTTTCCATCCTTACCTAACACCCGATGCCTAACCTCAATATTGCTCACCTTATTATATCACTTCGCCGACCACATACGTGGTCCACTGTTCGATCCCCGGCTGACGCACTCCGTCGCATCGCTAGACCAATAATATGACTGGCAAAGAGATAAGGTTAGGTATGAGGCTAGCAACCCCATTCCGTAAAAATAAACACCACTACTATCGAAACTTCAAGCCACCAGCTTGAGACCCTTTGTTCCACTAGGAACGTAAATAAATTTTAAAAAAAAACGTAATAAATAATGAATAGCATTTTTGAAAGGTAGCTTATTTGTAGTAGTAAGACGGTAGAAGACGAAAGACTTGGTAAAGGAATGTTCATTTGGAAATTGGTATCTCTATATAGCCAAATTATGTACACCTTATATCTTCAACGCATCATTTGCACTGATCTTCGTGTTCTAGTACTTCTGGCCTTTCTTCATATTGTGTTTCTTTGTGGTCCTTTTACATCGTCTCCCATGTATCCCCATAACGCTCTATCGTCTGCCTTCTCTGAAATCAAATGTATCTTCCTGCTATTTGATGTCTTTATGCTGATGAACGTCTCTTTATATACTACGATAAATTTTACCAGTAGCACTCGTCACTGTAGGTTAACTAGAATAATTCATTACTTTGATTGAACTCTAGGTAGTAATTTGTGTCATGCGTCTAGGTCCTTTGTTCGGTGCAGACTGAATTCTATCAGTCAAGTTTGCAATGTGGCCACCATGCCACTAGGTGGCTCACCATCACAGTACACTCAGGATTGTAGTTATTAGATGGTTGGAGGCAATCGACAGGAAGTCTTGGTCCTATGCTTCACTCTACAGATTGCCTTCAACCATCTAATAACAACAATCCTGAGTGTACCGTGATGGCAGGCCACCTAGAGGCATGGTGGCCACATTGCAAACTTGGCTGACAGAATTCAGTCTGCACATCTAACGCTTACAATCCAAACCATAGAAAATTAATCTGATGCTCGCTAGTTACTTGCTACAGGATGGGGAAATCAACCGACGAAGTCGTGAAGTTACAAAGACTGAGATGGTTAGGACATGTGTTACGTATGCCAAGCCATCGCCTCCCTCGACCGGCGGGCAGTGTTAGCTGACATAGGGTCAGGCTGGAAAAAAGCTAGCGGCGGTCAAACAAAAACTTGGCACCAGTCAATGAAATCCACAACAGTTAGTTTAAGCCAGGTAGGAAGGTGTAGACTTCCTGACTGGTTGGGGTCCTCGGGACGGTAAAAATCTATGGTTGGAAACAATTGGTGACATGGCTCAAAACCGTTCTCAGTGGCGCAGATGCATCCACTCCCTGTGACTTATGATCTCCAATGAAACTGTTTTGTTTTTCTTTATTGCTCCTTTGTCTCACACCTCTGCTCACTGTTTCTATTATGCTTTTCTTGTACTTTCTTCTCTTGCTTCGCGTTCTACACGGAGTGTGGCGACTTGAACTGTCGCACATTTGTGCAAAGTTCTATGTCGAAAACAGACAGATAGACAGACAGGATGGAGTTTCCTGGAGTTCTAGTGAGAAGTCATGATCAGTAAGGTCCAATTAGATGTCACGTGTGTGGATGGATTTCCAGCCAACGACAATGGATGGGGTCGCGCTAAATCACGAATTGGTAGAATTTAGAATCCATAAGCCATTGAATCGGATCCCAGTGGCTGAATGGTATACGAGCCAGCTTGCCTTGTAACCGGAAGGCCCTAGGTTCGAATCCCAGTGGGTGCGTACTGCCGATGATTCCCAAACTAGGATGAAACAGCAGCTGTCTAGTACTCCCTGGTTTTCAATGGTTCTTTAACTGATATCAATCCATGATCAACTCGTAAAGACATCTAATAACAGCCGTTCAGAGAGTATCGTGATGATGAACCATCCAACAGAATGGTGGCTACATTGCAAATTTGGCTGACAGAATTCAGTCTGCACCAAACAAAGGACTCGACTTATGATACCAGTTACTTAATACCTGCCATTCAATCAAAATATCCAGTATAGGCCTACAAGAGGTTAATCGTGAGCCTGAACAGGTCAGTAGCAATGGATGACACGAGTGTGAATCTCAGAAGGGACGTGCATTTCTTCAAGACTTCTAACTGTTAAGCTCCAAGAAGGACGAAACGTAGGTTGAAGGCTTTCTGACAATTTCCTCCAACAATCTAATATTCATTAATTTTGCACCCAGACTACATAGTACATATTCTTATGTACTCGGCTTGGATCCTCATTTGATGTGTAATGATTAATGTTACTCTTCAATCTATCATATCTAACTAGATGAGACAGACTTTGAACCTTGGATTTATTGATTAAAAAAGATCTCAAACTAATGACTGACACTGACTGACTGAGTTATTGAAGTAAAAATTAAGACAAAAGTGAAACAGTTCAAGCCGTCACACCACAAATAGCGCACAAAGTAGAGGGAAAACAATGCAAAGGATCTATAATGAGCAGAAACTTGCAGCAGAAAAAAAAATAGTTACATGGAGAATCATGGGGATTTAATAGATCTGGGAGTCTACAAAGAGTGAATGCATTTGTGCCATCGAGAACAATTTCGTGCCATGTCAACAACAGTCTCGAACCATTGGTTCTTAGCGTCTAGAAGACTCCAGCTAGACAAAGTGATAAACAATGCATATAAATAATTCAATAATAACATTTATACTCCTATTGTAAGTTTTAAAATCCAATATTTGACTAATCAAATAGAAATATATAAGTTAATTCTAATGACACGACTCTGTTTTTCGTACTTGTATGTAAATTCACTGCCCAAAAGCTGAGGTATAATAAGTTTTCAAGTGTTGATTTGTAAGGATTTGATTGGTTTTAATCGAACACATGGAAATTAATCTACTTTCACTACTGTCTGACTGTGGAATGCACTTCCTGGGTGTGAAGACACATACTGACTGATGATATTGACTAGTGTTGGCACTACGCATTGCGAAATATCAGACGTTAGAATTCCCTGGGCCATTGGGTTACGTCCCAGTGACTGATGATTGGTCAACGGTTTTACCTAGTGGGTTTCGAGGCCTAGTGGAGTCATGTGTGTGTACTATTGAGGAGTTCCTGGGTAAGACGAAACAGCTTTCCATTATTCTGGCTATCGTTCAAAGGGTGTGTGCACTGTTCAGCACTTCACTGTGTCCTCTTTTATGGCTGTGGGCTAGGTGTGGACACCGAAAGTAGAAGACATGAAAAGACTAGCTGTCTTTGGTCATAGGTGTCTGCGTCCCATCTGCCTGGTTAGGTGGTATCATAAGGTGAGCAATCCTGAGGGTAGGCGTCTGTCAAGTGCTAGGTGAGGAGGGGAAATCAGCATGTGAGGTTGCGAAGCTACATAAATTGAGGTGGTTAGGGCATATGTTGCGCATACCGAGCCATCTCCTTCCTCGACGGCAAATGTTAGCTGATATAGGGTGGATCATATTGGAAAAGAGTTAGTGGTGGTCAGACCAAAACATAGCACCAGTAAATAAAATTTCTAACAGTTAGTGTGAGGCACGTCGGAATCTGCACAGACTGCCTAGTTGGAGTTCCGGAGATGCTAAGAACTAATCTAAGCTGGAGACTGTTGGTGGTGATATGGCTCAAATTCGTTCTCGATGGCTGGCACAGATGCTTTCACTCTTTGTGATCTGCCTTATCCAATAAAATCCTGTTGTTCTTCTAATTGACTACCCTTTCCCCCTCACATTTCTGCTGATTATCGTTGTTTTGAATCTCATGTTTCTCTCTTTTATCTTCCTTTGTGTACAACATGGAGTCTGTCTGGATTCAACATAGAACTTGGCACCGAAGTGCAGCAGTTCGAGTTGCCACGTTCCAATTGGCACACAAGGTAGACAAGAAGATGAGTGAAGAGAATCAATAGAGTTTGACAATATAAGAGTGAAACAGAATGGGTAATGGTAGAAAGGAATATGAAAGATTACAGAGACTGAATACATCTGCGCCATTGACAACGATTTTGAGCCATGTCACCTATTGTCTCCAGCCATTGATTCCTAGAGTCCCGAGGGCCCCAACCCGGGAGTCTGCATCTCCCTACCTGACTCAGTTTAACTGTCAAGGATTTCATGGATTGATGCCATGTTTTTGTTTGGCCACCACGCTCTTTTCCAACCTGAACCTATATCAGCTAGCAATGCCCGTCGGGGGAGGCGGTGGTTAGGCATGCGCACACGTGACCTAGCCATCTTATCTATGTAACTTTATAGCCTCGTCGATTGATTTTCCCTCTTTGCCCAACACTCTACGCCTAACGTCAACATTACTTACCTTGTGAAACCACCTAACGTGAGACAGAGATCGCAGACATCTATGATCGAAAGCAGTCAACCTTTTCATGTCTTCAACCGTATTGGCCATGTTTCAGAGCCATAGAGAAGGACGGAGCGAACTGATGAGCAGTACACACGTCCCTTGGTTGATAACCGGATGTCACGCCTACGCCAGAGATGGTGTAAGTCAGCGAAAGCAGCTCGAGCTTTTCGGATCCGTGCTGAGATTTCATCGCCAATCAGTCCGTTGGTGCTAATACAACTTCCCAAATAGGTGAAGTGGTCAACATGTTCTATCACTTCACTCCCTATCACTAAGTTGGTTGACGTGTCCAGTCCTGTAGCAGCATCTTACATTTTGCAGGGGCGAATCGCATGCCAAACATACGAAGATTGCTGCTCAAGGTGTTCAGAAGACTCTGCATTTTGTCAGCATCCTCCCCTAACAGGACTATGTCATCTGCATATTCTAAGTCCATAGATATTCCCTGGTAACAAGTCGATTCCTAAGTCTTACGTTCAGTTAAGGATACTTCCATTAGCATATCTATGATGAAGTTAAACAGAAATGGGGAAAGTGGACATCCCTGTCGGACACCACTGGTTGTTACCAATTCAGATGACAATTCCCCATAAGCCCTTACACGACTACGTGAGTTTGAATAGAGTGCCTTGATTAGTGCAATGTACTTTCTTGGCACTCCCTTCACAGTCAGACATTGCCATAGTACCTTTCGATCCACGGAGTCGAAGGCCGCCTTCAAGTCAAGAATATGACAATTGTTGGACGCCGAAAAGTGTGTCTATGTTCTAGAATCTAAGAGTGAAGATATGATCTATGCACCCTCTACCTGGTCTAAAGCCTGCTTGATTTTCCCTTGTCTGTTCCTCCCGAGTTCTGCTTAGTCTATGCATGATTACTGAGCCTAGGATTTTAGAGACTATGTTCGTTAGGCTGATCCCCCTATGATTATCACACGAGGACTTGTTTCCCTTCTTGAATATCGGTATAATAGTGACTTACCCCAGTCTGATGGTACTGTCTCTGATTCCCAGACTTTGCCTAGTACCTCAGTTAAGTGGCAACTCACCCCGTCCTACAGTTGATACCTTGTCGTGGTAGTCGGACTTGAATACCGCTGTGACCCAACAAGCTTAACTGGTTGGGACTCATGTTCCTGCAGTTCCTACTATGTCAGAAAGGTTGTTTGGATAGCGGTTAGGCTAAAAGCAGTTACCACGGGGGTGTACATGGGCTTCATTCGGATCCATTGGCGTATGAACCTATACTGGTCACCGGCAACCATGGGAGTGCAGCTCCTGACGCTGCTCCACTGCCTTGCGGATTAGACTCCAAGTCAAAGGCTCGGGGGTGGTCCCTTAAGAAAATCACCTGCTTTGGTCTGGGCAGGCGCCCGGGCAGTATCTCAGTCATTACACAATAAATGAAATGAAGCAATAAACTATCAGTGAAACTTATCGCGCGTGGTAACTCACACCTGCTGCACTTCTGCTGCAGCAAAGTTCTATGCTGTTGAAACCAGTCGGTCATGAATCAGAATTCTCTTACACACACTCATGAAGTGTTAGTAACGAGTTACATCAATTATGTATGCGGGCTGGTCATGTAAGCTAACCACCTACGCGTAGACGTGATATTCAGCTGGCTATCGACCAAAAGGCGGGTATACTGCTCATGAGTCCGCTCGGTCCTCCTTTATGGCTGTGAGGCCTTGCCATTGAGAGTGGAAGACATGAAAAGACTAGCTGCCTCTGATCATAGGTGCCTGCGTTCTATCTCCCGTGTGAAGTATATAACAAGGTGAGTAATATTAAGGTTAGGCGTCGAGTGCTAGGTAAAGAGGGTAAATCAATCGACGAGGCTGTGAAGTTACACCAATTGAGATGGTTAGAACATGTGTTACGTATGCCTAGTCATCACCTTTCTTGACGCGTAATGTTAGCTGACATAGGGTCAGACTGGAAAAGAGCTAGCTAATGGTAGCCAAACCAAAACATGGCACCAGTCAACGAAATCCACCTGAGTTAGTTTAAGCCAGTCAAGTAAGAAGGTGTAGACTTCCTGACTGGTTGGGGTCCTCGGGATGGTAAAAACCAGTGGCTGGAAACAACCAGTGATATGGTTCAAAATCGTTCTCAATGGCTGGTGCAGATGCATCCACTTCTTGTGACTTATGATTTCCAATGAAACTATATTGTTCTTCATTATTACTATTCCTTTGTCTCACACATCTGCTCACTGTTTCTATTATGCTTTTCTTGTGCTTTCTTCTCTTGCTTCGTGTGTTACATGAAGGGAGTTTGGCTACTTGAACTGGTGCACATATGTGCAAAGTTCTATGTCGAAAATAGATAGACAGACAGACATGTCGTTATTTGCAGGTAGACACACATATCTAGTCAGTAACATTTAAATATTTCAAGCTGTAGTAAAACTTCTCAGGAAAAATTCTATTGTATATATATATATATATATATATATATATATATATATATACTAACGAATCTTTATTGTTTATTTCTTTTTTGTCTATTAATTTATTTTTAGTTCCGTTATCGAATTTATTTTATTTCCTATCCTTTGACTATTTCTCATCCTGGAAGTAAACCGACATTGTTTTGTGCTGATGTTAGTCAACAACCGTTGAAAAATGATGAACTGACTTGGCACTCGCTACTGCCGACTGAATTTGTTCATGGCAAGTAAGTACTGGATTGTACAAATATTATTATTTTGATAGAGAAAGAAAAACCAGATTTGCAGTATAAAATGATACCATCATCATCCTATTTCAGAGGTTCTCTCTCATCAGCTAATTGCAAACCACTACCTGAAATTACAATGGTTATAAATAATAATAACATTTCATACTTCATTGTTTGAAAGGTAATAGAGAAAACATTATAAGGTGAACGCATCATCAATTTATATATACTATCAGTAAGTGAGGTCACAAAAGCTATTAGTAATTTGAAACGAGGCAAAGCGGCAGGACCCGACGGAATTATTCCGGAGGTGTTTAAATATGGGGGTGACATACTAGTTTGTAGATTAACTGAGGTACTAGGCAAAGTCTGGGAATCAGAGACAGTGCCATCAGACTGGGGTAAGTCACTTATTATACCGATATTCAAGAAGGGAAACAAGTCCTCGTGTGATAATCATAGGGGGATCAGCCTAACGAACATAGTCTCTAAAATCCTAGGCTCAGTAATCATGCATAGACTAAGCAGAACTCGGGAGGAACAGACAAGGGAAAATCAAGCAGGCTTTAGACCAGGTAGAGGGTGCATAGATCATATCTTCACTCTTCGACAGATTCTAGAACATAGACACACTTTTCGGCGTCCAACAATTGTCATATTTCTTGACTTGAAGGCGGCCTTCGACTCCGTGGATCGAAAGGTACTATGGCAATGTCTGACTGTGAAGGGAGTGCCAAGAAAGTACATTGCACTAATCAAGGCACTCTATTCAAACTCACGTAGTCGTGTAAGGGCTTATGGGGAATTGTCATCTGAATTGGTAACAACCAGTGGTGTCCGACAGGGATGTCCACTTTCCCCATTTCTGTTTAACTTCATCATAGATATGCTAATGGAAGTATCCTTAACTGAACGTAATGACTTAGGAATCGACTTGTTACCAGGGAATAGTCTTATGGACTTAGAATATGCAGATGACATAGTCCTGTTAGGGGAGGATGCTGACAAAATGCAGAGTCTTCTGAACACCTTGAGCAGCAATCTTCGTATGTTTGGCATGCGATTCGCCCCTGCAAAATGTAAGATGCTGCTACAGGACTGGACCACGTCAACCCCTAACTTAGTGATAGGGAGTGAAGTGATAGAACATGTTGACCACTTCACCTATTTGGGAAGTTGTATTAGCACCAACGGACTGATTGGCGATGAAATCTCAGCACGGATCCGAAAAGCTCGAGCTGCTTTCGCTGACTTACACCATCTCTGGCGTAGGCGTGACATCCGGTTATCAACCAAGGGACGTGTGTACTGCTCATCAGTTCGCTCCGTCCTTCTCTATGGCTCTGAAACATGGCCAATACGCGTTGAAGACATGAAAAGGTTGACTGCTTTCGATCATAGATGTCTGCGATCTCTGTCTCACGTTAGGTGGTTTCACAAGGTAAGTAATGTTGACGTTAGGCGTAGAGTGTTGGGCAAAGAGGGAAAATCAATCGACGAGGCTATAAAGTTACATAGACTAAGATGGCTAGGTCACGTGCTGCGCATGCCTAACCACCGCCTCCCCCGACGGGCATTGCTAGCTGATATAGGTTCAGGTTGGAAAAGAGCCAGTGGTGGCCAAACAAAAACATGGCTCATCAATCCATGAAATCCTTGACAGTTAAACTGAGTCAGGTAGGGAGATGCAGACTCCCGGGTTGGGGCCCTCGGGACTCTAGGAATCAATGGCTGGAGACAATAGGTGACATGGCTCAAAATCGTTGTCAATGGCGCAGATGTATTCAGTCTCTGTAATCTTTCATATTCCTTTCTACCATTACCCATTCTGTTTCACTCTTATACTTGTCAAACTCTATTGATTCTCTTCACTCATCTTCTTGTCTACCTCTGTGTGCTATTTGGAACGTGGCAACTCGAACTGCTGCACTTCGGTGCCAAGTTCTATGTTGAATCCAGACAGACAGACACTATCAAACTACAAACACTGTACGACAGGGCCAGGAAGTTATGTTCGCCTAACAAGGTAGAAAAAGAATTAAGCTTTGTCGAAAAATGTCTTAAGGAAAACGGGTATCCAAAAGGATTTATCCTAAAGTACAGCAGATAAAAGGACGAGAAAGAGAAGTATCCAACAGTTGAAAAGAAGAAAGGGTTCATTTGCCTCCCATACAAAGGAGAAACAGTATCGCAAAAGATTGAAAAGAGGATGAAGGGAGCAATAAAGAGAAGCTTCCCTGCAGCCAATATCATGGGGCACTATATGGTACTACATGCTCTATTAGCCAATCGAAACTGGATAAGTCCCGGCCGGCGCACTCCTTTACCTCACTGAGCCAAAAATAATGCTGGTAAAGAGGAAAGGTTGGGCATGAGGCTAGCAACCCCATCCTGTAAAAGTTAAACACTGCTACAGAAACTTCAAGCCACTAGCTTGGAGCCCTATGTTCCACTGGGAACGTGAAGGAAAAATTATTATTATTATTGTTACCCTGATGATGTTACCTCCAACTGCATTTATAAATTTACGTGCACCTCCTGAGGCAGCAAGTACATTGGAAGGACAGAAAAAAGGCAGGGCTTCTATCCGGTTTTCAGAGCATATTCCCAGAAACTCATGCTTAAAAGGAAGCAGATATTTACAAAGTGCAATTACCAGACACCCACCCTGCCTGTGGATATGGGTCATTTTGTCGACATTTCCAAATCCTTCAAAATATTAAACATACAAAAGACAGCGAATCTACTACGATTTACTGCTGAAGCAATTGCAATCAAACGTCACAGACCAAACTTATGCATACAAAAAGAGAGTATAGTCAATCTCTCACTCCCTTGGTAACCATATCACTTTCATTACACTGATTAGTCATACACACACAACTCACTAGGCAAGTTTTCAAATTGATGAACTTTGACCTTCTTGAGTTGCTATGCTGACACTGTTTATTAGATTTTTTCTGTCTTCTCTCACCCCCCCCCTATTTTACTTTTTCATAGTTTGATAGTATATAAATTGATGATGCGTTCACCTTATAATGTTTTCTCTATTACCTTTCAAACAATGAAGTATGAAATGTTATTATTTATAACCATTGTAATTTCAGGTAGTGGTTTGCAGTTAGCTGATGAGAGAGAACCTGTGAAATAGGATGATGATGGTATCATTTTATACTGCAAATCTGGTTTTTCGTTCTCTATCGAAATTTATCAAGGGAGGCAAATGTATGAAATATTATTATCATCGAATAATGACGATATAAGTAGCACAGAGAAATATGTGCATATATTTTATTATTATTGTATCCTTTAGTTCCTAGAGGAACATAGGGCTTCAGCTGCGCACCTCCATTGCCTTCGGTTTCCTGACAACTTTTTCACCCTGCTCCAGGTCTGTCCACATGCTTTCATCTCCTCCTCGCATGACCTCCTCCAAGTCACCCTTGGACGACCAACTCGCCGCCTCCCTTTCGGGTTCCACTCGAGGGCTTGTCTAGTGATGTCACTTGATGGTTTCCTCAGCGTATGGCCAATCCATCTCCATTTCTTTCTGCCTATTTGTTTCACAATCGGTTCCTGATTGGTTCGCCCCCAGAGATCCCTGTTGCTGATCTTTTCTGGCCATCTGATCTTGAGTATTGAGCGGAGACAGCTGTTAATGAAGGTTTTGCATGTATCTGGTAATTGATTACAGGATTCCATCATGAACTGACATTGGTTAGAGAACCATTGGAAAACCACCTGGGAGTGAGTACTGGACAGCCAGTTGTTTCGTCAGCCCAGTTTGGGACTCATCAGTACGCACCCTCCCACTGGATCGGGTCCCAGTGGCTTAATGGTATACGAGCTCACTAGGCTTGTAACCAGAAGGTCCTGGGTTCGAACCCCTGTGGTGGGTGCGTACTGGTGAAGAGTCCCAAACTAAACTGACGAAACAGCTGGCTGTCCAGAACTCCCAGGTGGTTTTCCAATGGTTCTCTAACCAATGTCAGCTCATGATGAAATCCTGTAACCCAATCAATCAAATCCCTACAAACCAATATACTTGAATATCTGGTAATTATTAACTGTAAACAGATGATGGCATGTACGACAAAGATGCACAGAATGCTGATACTCATAGTGCTGTCATACAGAGAAGGAACCTGTTAAAACATTAGGTAGAATTCCTAGCAAAGCAAGAATAAAAGCGGGATTCAAACCTCCAGCGAAAGTCATACTTACTAGAAACAGACTATGTCGGTTCAGAAGACCCCATCGAGCCTACTATTTTTATTATTGTTCCCTTGCGTTCCTAGTGGAACATAGGGCTTCAACTGCACGTCTCCACTTGCTTCTGTCATGCTTCTGCTGTACTTTTCACCTGCATCCAAGTTAGTCCATACTGTTTCAACTCCTCTTCACACGATCTCCTCCATGTCATACTCGAACTGACGTCCCACTCGCTGCTTCCCATTCTGTCGGGTTCTACTCGAGGGTCTGACGCGCGCGATGTCACCCAGCGGTGGCCTTCTCAGCCGCGAGTGTCCAATCCATCTCCACATTCTCCTTCATATTTGTTGGTTGGCGATTGGTTCTTGTTTTGTTTGTTCCCATAGTTTCTTGTTGGTGATTCTTTCCGGCGCGGCCATCTCATCTTCAGTATAGAGCCGGCGAAGACAGTTGTTGGTTGATGAAGGTCTGCAACAGGCTGTTGAAAATATTTTTTGTGACCCGCTGCCAAGTTTCTGATCCGTATAGAAGAACTGACTGACTTGACGTTGTTTGTACTGAAAATCCGAGCGAATTTCGTTTTTGATGCTGACTGACGAAGATTTCCAGATTGGTTCAGTTGGTTGATGAATGTGTTTCTCGCCTTCCCGATTCTCGCTCGATTTGACATCCTCGTCCGTTCCTCCATCGAGCCTATGGAAGACAATAATTTACTTCCTCTAATTCCCTTGAAAATGATTTTGAGACATTAAATAGATAGGCTAAAGTAAATAGGACAGGGTGAATTATGTTGAAAAAAGCATAGAAACTTAACAAAATCTGGATTATTTGACCTTAATAAGATAAGTGGTCTTGAAAATAACTCGTCAATAACACCTTATTCAGTTACAGATATTTATGTGACAGTCAATGTGACAATGTGACAGTCCCAAAATCTAATATCAAATGGATATAGGGAGAGATTGATAACGGAAGCCTTTATTTATCAAATCAGCTGGGAATACATGGCATCCTGGTTGTCTAGCAAATTCTACCACCCACGCAACAAATGAGAATAAAGAACGGAAACTGTGAAAATCAAGTTTTCTGGGTTGCATAGTTACAATTGATATAATCTTGGATCATAAGTTGTATCCTAAACATCATGCAGTAAATTATACTGTATCACTGTGTGATATGTCCAATAAAATATTAATATGGAATTAGAATTGTACTGTAACAACAGAAAACAAGGGCCAGATCGTTTATTGAGGAAATCAACACATATTTGTCGATTTTCATGTACATTGTTAGCAGAAAAACAGTCTTCTGATTGGTTATTTCTCACAGAAAGTTAATTTTGCATCTCTTTGTGACTGTTTCTTGAATGCCAGATCACCTATGCGTTAACTGCATTCGCCTACGCAAAGCTTTGTTCTCATTTTTCTCACGACCATATTGGGGACATAAACATTGACGTAAATTACTGTCCACCAATTTCGACTAACACCCAGCTCTCACCACAGTACTATTTATATGTTGTAGTCGAAGCTAATCACAGGGAGGCCTCGAACCTAATCTTCCAGAAAGATATTGTAACGACAGAAGACAACGGCCAGGCAACACGTATTTCATTGAGAAAATCAACAGTTATTTATATATTTTTCTGCACATTATTATTCGTTATTGTTAGCAGACAAACAACGTCTTCTGATTGGTTGTTTTCCTGCTGAAGGTTATTCTGTCATCTCTGTTGCCATTTCTTAAACAGTCCGTTGATATATATCTGCTAATCGTATCCGCCCACGCTAAGTCTGATGCGACTGGTTGTTGAGTTTCTCAAGGTTAGGCTTCGTTTTTGTTTTCTTCTCATGACGGCGATTTGGGACGTAAACATTGACGTAGATTGTTGTCTACCAATTTTGGCTAGCAGACAGCTCTCACCACAATATAACTACAACTTCGGTGGAACCGATATATGAATATACCTCCTGTAGGTCTGATTGCGTTTGATATATTGGATATCACAGATAGCCTATTGACAGCTGCTGGCCTTATGGTAACCCTAGGCGGTAAAAGCTCGTGTCGGGTAGGGAAAACCGTCTCCTAAAGGTTAACGCATACGTTTTCTTGTCAGGTGCCAATAAGTGCAAAGCATAGACCAAGGGCTCCCTGGTCCACTGTCTTCAACTATCCAACATTAATTAAGAGTGCACTACGATAGGAAGTGGTTGTAGTTTGGTGACCTTATTGCGAACTTGACTGATAGAATCTCGTCGTTTTGGTGAAATTGTTTATCCTGTAGTGACTGATATGCACAAATGTATTTCGTTTGTCTGGTCTCTTTTTCCCACCATCATCACTTCATTATAATTTGTTGTTCTGTGTTTTTCTCCTTTTCGCATATTTTTTTCTGTTGAAGAAACCCACTTGCTTTGGCTGACTTCCTCTTACACGAACGTATGCGTGTTTCTGTAGCTGGTGTAACAAATTTTTGTCTATCTGAATGTGGTAAATTAATTGTTTGTGCATCAAGTCAAATATACAGTGCTTATGATAAAATTTCTTCAGAGGTAAGTTTTCATTTCTCATGCATATATGTATGTATGATGTTTATTATCATGATTAATATTATTGTTATTGTTCTCATGGGTTCCTTTCTGACAGACCATCCAATCTTTAGTATCGAACGAAGTCCGGTTGGGCGGCGGGAGGGGGTAGTTATTGCGAGAAGTATGCGGTAGCCTGTTGGAAATGCTCTCCGTGACATGGTAAATCTCTGAACCATATAGGAGTATTGAACTGACATTTTAGTGTTGAAGATTCAGATCTAGTTCCTTATTCTGCGTACTGTCTCAGGATGGCTTCGTGTGGTTTTGGAAGTGTGTGTGGGCGGTTGTTACTTCCTGACTGACCATACCGTGGAAGTTGATTAATTCTTCGGGTACCTGAAACTGTGAGAGCGTTAGTGTTGCGTGACCACAGAGCTCAGAGGACAACTGCCTGAGACCGGTCACACACGGCCTGTATGAACTGGTTTCTTGGTTTGGTTCCGTATTAGTAAACTTACCGCCGATTACGAACCACTGTAGGGTAGGTCGAGATGTACAATTTTCGGGGTCGACCTTTTCTAACCCCTCCCTCCAAAGTGGAGAGACAGCATAGCTGGAATGCTGGTCATCTAAGGGAAAAACCTCACTGCGGTTACACCCCTGTTTCCCATGAGTACGACTTCGGCCTGAAACCCCCCAGCATAGTGTAAGAAAGATTCTTACACTATACTGGTAACTGCTTTTAGCCTAATCGCTATCCTAACAACCTTCCTGTCATGGTAGGACCTGCAGGAACATTTGTTCCAGTCAGTGTAGCTTGTTGGGTCATCGCGATGTGCAAGCCTGACCACCACGAAACGGTAGCAGCTGTTGGTCGGGTATTCTGCGTGCAGCAGATTCCAAAGTGATTTCAGATTTTATAGGTGACTATATAAGTGATTGCCAAAACCAATTAACCTTCCTTTCATTTCCGTCTTCTTTATACGCCTGAACAGAGGCTCCGTCAATTACAGTTTGAATTTTCTCAGTTAGTTTGCTCTTATTTGATTGTGTCACATACGTTTAAAGGCATACTGTAATCCGATGCTACATTTAGTTGTTTCAAAGGTGTTTTACTGACTTTCTACACACCTGGAATATCTGTTGTGTTGGTTGCTGTATTATACTACCCTCAAAAACATCTTGAGATTGGTTTTATCTTCGTGGGCATTTTATTTATCTCACTGGTTCAGAATAACTGACTGACTATTTTCAATGTAGAACTTTACACCGATTGTCTGCAGTCTCCATCTGCTTTTACCATCCCGAGGACGCCAACCATCCAGCTAGCCATCCAGTCGACACCTTCCTACCCTAAGTGGCTAGCTTAAACTAACCGTTGTGGATTTCATTGACTGATGAAGCCGTGTTTTTGTTGGAACACCACCAGCTAACTCTTTTTCAACCTGATTCATCCCATGTCACTCAGATAACATTGCCCATCGTCGAGAAAGGCGATAAATGGCTAGGGATGCACGCGTAACACATGTAACCATCTCTCTCAATCGGTGTAACTTCACAACCTCTTCTATTGATTTCCCCTCCTACCTACTAGCACTTGGTCGATGCCTCACCTCAATATTACTCACCTAATTATACCACTTAACGCGGAAGATAAAATGCAGACACCTATTATAAAAAAGAGCTAGCTAGCTCTTTCATATCTTCCGCTTTCCATGGCCATGTCTAACTCACAGCCAGCCATAAAGGAGGAGGGCAGAGGGAATTGCTGAGCAGTACCCAAGTCGTTTCATCGATAGGCAGCCGAATACTATACCTACGTCAGATATGATGTAGGTTGGCAAATGTTATGCGAGACTTTTGTGTCCGTAATGAGATTTCGTCAGCGTTCTTATCCGCTGGGACCCATGCAACTTCCCGAATTAGTTAAGTGATCAGGATGCTCTACCACTTCCCTCCTGACTATTTTTAAACCATAAGTCAATGTAGTCCAGTTACTGCTGTAGCCTAATCATCTCGCATTTGACGGGATCAAATCGCATGCCAAACATTCGAAGATTCGTGCTCCTCAAGGTGTTCAGAAGACTCTGTATTTTGTCAGCGTCTTCACCTAGAAGGCAGAACTATATATCTGCATATTCTAAGTCAACGAGATTATTCCCTGGTGGTAACAAATCAATCCCTGATTCGCTGAAGTCAGTTAGGATTTAAGTCCATTAGTACATTTATGATGAAATTAAATAGAAATAGGGACAGTGTACATCCGTAACGAACACTACTGGTAATCATCACTTTAGATGGCAACTCTCCGTAGGCTCTTACCTGGCTGGCTGTATGAATTCGAATAGAGTGCCTTGATCAGTGCAATGTATTTCCTCGGTATTCCTTTCACCGTCAACTATCGTCATAGTACTTCGCGATCGACTGTGTTGGTTGTTGTTGTATACTACGCGCGAGAATACGTCGTGGTTGCTTTTATCCTCACCGCTTCACTTACTTGGGAGGTACCATTAGCCCCAACGGTTTGATCTCTGAAGAAACCTCAGTACGGATACAGAGGGCTAGTTTCGCATATGCCGGCTTACGCCGTCTGTGGCGTAGACGTGATATCTGGCTATCGACAAAAGAGCTGGTGTACTGCTCAGCAATCCACTTCCTCCTCCTTTATGACTGGCTGTGAAACCTGGCCATTGAGAGTGGAAGATATGAGATGATTAGCTGTCTTCGATCGTAGGTGCTTGCGTTCTATCTCCCGTGTGAAGTATATAATAAAGTGAGCAATATTGAGGTTAGGTGTCGAGTGCTAGTAGGTAGGAGGGGAAATCAATAAAAGAGGTTGTGAAATTACATCGACTGAGAGAGATGGTTAGGATATGTTACGTATGCCTAGTCATCGCCTTCCTCGACCGACGGTGAATGTTAGCTGACATAGGGTCAGGCTGGAAAAGAGTTAGTGTCGGTCAAACCAAAACATGGAACCAGTCAATGAAATCCACAACAGTTAGTTTAAGCCAGGTAGGAAGGTGTAGACTTCCTGACTGGTTGGGGTCCTCGGGACGGTAAAAACCAATGGCTGGAGACAATTGGTGATATAGCTCAAAATCGTTTTCAATGGATGGTGCAGATGCATTCACTCCTTGTGATTTATAATACCCAATAAAACTATATTGCTCTTTGATATTTCTATTGTTTTTGCCTTATATCTCTGTTTACTGTGTCTATTATGCATTTATTCTACTTCCTTCTCTTGTTTTGTTTGCTACATGGAGGGAGTTTGGCGACTTAAACTCTTGCACATCGGTGCAAAGTTCTCTGTCGAAAATAGACAGACAGACAGAAAACAACTTCGTTAGGTCACTTCCCACTCTTATTACGATAACACTTGTAGTAAAATGCTCACCAGCGATACAGTTTCGATTCCCCTACCAACACACTCTTAAACATCACCTTGTTTACTATCTAACTGTAAGCCTGGAAATGAGGGAAAGTCGGGTGTGACATTAACAACCCCGCAGTTACTGAAACTAGAAGGCTACCAGCCTAGAACGGTAACACTTCACTGGCTTTGTTCCCATTAAAGTTAACTCCTTCCTTCAATAAAGAACTCGTCTAGCATTTCATCTATTTCGTCCCACTTTTTCTTAACGATTGTTTTCATATTTTTTTTTATCGGATGTGTATAGGTGAATGAATTAAACAACTTCAATAGTGGGGTTGGGGTTAACTGACTACTCTTATCAAATATCAGTAGTATTGTACACCTTGATAATTAATAATGTTACAAAGAAATGTTTCCTTATTTGAATGATTTTCTACTTCACCCTCTTTCATTTTATAAAATGAAAATACTGGATATGATAGAGAAGATTTTTAGCTCAGGTGGATGATTTTAATGTGGTTGTGTTCTCTTAGCTGGATAGTTAATTAGCGGAGCTTTCATCGCCCTCTCTACTAAGCGACATCGTTAGAGCATACTTCAATTTGATTGAAGTGAGCTTTTAGATTTCTCAACGAGTTTATTAATCATTTCTCCTGGCGGGTGACCTTGAACGTCTTGATTAGTTGTTTTTGTGTGTTTTCACACCTTCTAGGCTAAAATTGTATTGGAACTGATTGTTTCTTTGGCTTGAACTTTGACCCTTTGTGTGTGAGGTTTCTTTCTTCTTTTTCTTCTTCTTATATCCTTTAATTCCTAGAGGAACATAGGGTTTCAGCTGTGCGTCTCCATTACCTTCGGTTTTCTGCCAACTTTTTCACTCGCTCCAAGTCTGCCCACATGCTTTCATCTCCTCTTCACATGACCTCCTCTAAGTCACCTTTGCACTAACCACCAACTCGCCACTTCCCTTTCGGCCTGGTTCCACTCGAGCAGTGGCTTGTCTAGTGATGTCACTTGATGGTTTGTTCCCTTAGAGTATGGTCAATCCATCTCCATTTCCTCCTGCTTATTTGTTTCACAATCGGTTCCTACTGGGTTGGTTTGCTCATTGCCAGAGATCCCTGTTGCCGATCTTTTCTGGTTGGTCATCTGATCTTGAGTGGTATTGAGCGAAGACAACTGTTAATGAAGGTTTCTTGCTTATCGGTTGATAAATTTTGTCTATTTCGATGTGTCTATTGATTGATTGATTGATGATTCACTGGAATACCAGGTAGGCTTCTAAAAATTCTCTGGCTAGCATATTTGTTGTTTCCTCTGTCTAATATTTGAACACTGGTTGTCCCAGTCGAATTGATGTCCATGGTTGTCTGTATGCAGTGAGTGATACGAGCGAGGGAGTGGATATCATGTCTTTTGACAGCTAGCTTATGATCGTGGATACGAAGACGATGAGAAGCGGACGTCCACTTTGACCTATGTAGTGTTTTTCGCAATTTTTTAACGTAGAATAACAGATTAGTTATCACAGGGTGTCAAAATAAATAGTCATATTTGTGTGACAAACATGCTAGGCTGAAATCGATTAGAAATATTGTAAAACGGGAGACAATGGTGGTGATTGATCATAATAGAATTGTAGAGTGTGGGGTAGGAAAATTGACAAATCATTTCAAGGTTATAAAAGGTGTCAGGTGAGTGAGTGGCTAGTACAAAGTGGTCTGAGTTAAGCAGGAGATAGTAAGACTGCAATGAGAGGTTCATAGTGAGATAACGAATATGTTAAATGAAACAGGTAGAGGCATATATTGAGAAAATAGATAATATCACTAATAATAAGTCCGTATAAATGAAAATTCGATAGTATTGAGGGAATGTTTGCATAAAGTGCATAAATTATGACGAATAATAATAATAACTGTAATAATAATATTTATAATAATAATAAGCAAAGTAAAAAAAGAAAAAAACACCAAGAGGGTTAAGGGGAAGCAGCACTCTTGGTGAGAAGGAGAATCTTCAATCCAAGGTTGACCACGGTAGGAACAACGTCTGGACGTGTTCTTTCTGGATACAGAGTTCCGGTTTAGTCGATCTTATTGCGACAGCTTCAGCGCTATGTGTAGGAGACTTAAGCGAACTGTACGTGATAACGACTTCGGAATTCGCTATATAACCCTGAAAGTTGTGTTGACGTCGATGCGATGTCCAGTAGCATCGACCAAGTGTGGCAGGATCGAGCTTTTTATGCACTTAATTTCTCCCTTGCTGAACCAAGCTGGTAAGTGTTCTCGAACCCGTAGACGAACCTGCCTAATCATTCGCCCTATATAACTTGAACCACAGGAACAGTTGAAATGGTATATGCATGAATAAGAACTATGGTTAGGTAAGGCATCTTTGAGTTGCTGGGTGAACATAACTAATCTGTTATTCTACGTTAAAAAATGTATCCGCCGCATAACTGGCCTTTATTATAACGACCACAAATATTATATTTTTCGCAATTGTTACAGCTTATTTTGTCGATGATGTTGGTTTTATCTTCTTTCGCTGTTAAATCTAACTATCCAGCTCAGAGAACACAACCGCATAAAAAATGAAAGTACTTTTCCATATATTTTGTAAAAAAATCAGGATTTTTTTCCCCAATAACACCTTCTATGTTATTTTCAAATGTAAATATTCTAACAGCCTGACGAATTACTTGAACCTGTTGTTGAAGCTCCATTAACCAGTGCAATTCAACCAGTGATTTGTCCATTGAATTCAGATATTGTTGTTTGTTTATCTAATGAAAATATTTTTATTGGACATACACCAACAAATAAATGGACACGAGTAACACACTATTCAAGTGATAGTAAGTTAATTGGGCAATTTTATTTCGTATAATTGTTAATTATATATACTTGATAAAATCTAATTGGTGGATAGTGACTAGCAGTCGAATCCAGGATAACGCGCATTTCATCCTATTTGGGACTCCTCAACTGGATGTACCTGTATTTCTCGGTGAGTGGTGGTGATGTTCCCACCGAGGCTCGAACCCAGTGACCATAGTTTCAAACGCCAAAGGGTTATTCCCTAGACCACTTAGGCCATGAGAGCCACCTCTTGTGCAACGGGTCATATTAATTTAATTGAATTTCTGATTTTCCCGTCGATTGATTGGACCGAAGTACTCGGTCTCAAGTTGACATTTCGGTCGATGAGTCTCAAATAGGACGAAATGCGCGCTATCCTGGATTCCACTGTTAATCACCATCCACCGGTTAAATACTAATTAAATGCCCAGACATCGTCGAAGCATCTGCACAAGAAGCCGACATGTCAACCTGAGACCTAGCACTTCAGTCCAGTCAATCGACGGGAAAATCTAAAATTCAATTAAACTTGATAAAATCCTCTATGGTTGGTTAAAATTTCATTCTAGGTTCGTATCCTTTGTTTGCTATCCTACTGGCTTATTTTTCATGTTACTTTATCCCTCCTTCTCCCCCTCGCACAGTTTTGGGTTCATGAGGGAGTGCTCATTGCTGAAGAGGTTTCAAAGATGGAAGAAGAGAAAAAAATCAATGGTAAAACTGAAAAGTTCATCTATGGAAAAGAAATCTGGACTGCACAATGTTTTCACTATAAATACTTCTGTCTTATTAGCTCTACGCGTACTATACGACAAAGCTAGAAGAAGAATTAGGCTTTATTGAGCCATTTGATTGGGTCCCAGTGGTTGAATGGTATACGAGCTAGCTTGCCTTATAACCGGAAGCTCCTGGGTTCGAACCCTGGCAATGGGTGCGTACTGCCAATGATTCTCAAACTAGGCTGACGGAACAGCTTTCCAGTACTCCGTGGTGTTAGTTTCAATGGTTCTCTAACTGATATCAATCAGTGATCAACTCGTAAAAACAAAACTAACCCTTACAAATCAAACTATAGAAAAGTTTTTGAGAAATGCCTAAAGGAAAACGGGTATCCAAAGGGATTTATCCTAAAGTACAGCAGAGAAAAGGACGAGAAAACGAAGTATTCCACAGTTGAAAAAAGAAGAAAGTGTTCATTCGTCTCCCATTCATATGAGAAGCAGTATCACAAAGAATTGATCAAAAGAAATGAAAGGAGCAATAAAAAGATGCTTCCCTGCATGCTTTATAAGCCAATCGGAACTGGGCCAAGTTAAACTTTAAGCACCACTAGCTACCAATCAGCGAATGACCTTGAGTGGTCCAGTGAGTTTCATCCACATGAGTTGAGGCCTCTATTCCGCTTGATTAGAGACAAATGCCTGCAGTAGATCAGTTAAGCTTGCAGTTTGGTGAGGATAAAGTTTTGCAGTATTGTTTAAATGTGGAGTTGCTTAAGAAGGAAAGGATTTGTTTATGTGGAGGTGTGTCATGAGTATAAAAAGCTTCAGCAGGTCGATTGATGGATATATGTCTATCGTTGTGCCATTTGCTTGAGACGAGTTACTGTCAGGAAGGTAAGCTGATGATTCTAATATTTCTCAGGAACATTTTTCTTCAGATCCCATCCGTCATGAACCCAGATTTTGTATATTTGTAATCACTGGGTTTTAAAACAGCCTGTAAGAGGTGCAGTTGCCGAAACTGAAAATATTCTCGTATCAACAGTCCAATGGTTCTAAAGACATCGCGTCCTAGAAGCTTACTTCTTTATCGGGAGGTGAAGGTGTCGTCGTACATGTAGATGAAACTGTCTTATTAAAAAAAATACTACCGTGGTAGAGAACAAGCGAATAATGTTTGGGTGATTGGTGGTTTATGTGATATACCTCCCTGCAGAAAGTATTCGTCGAGAGGACAGCAGATAGAAAATCAAGTACTTTAATAGCTATTATCACTCGATTGGTGAAACAAGGATCTATATTACACACCGATGAGTGGAAAGGTTATAACTCCTTGTCATCCCTGGGATATAATCACCACAGGGTCAACCATTTTAATGATTTTGTAGATCGATCCCATTGCAGAGACACACACCAATTCTATCGAAGGCTTTTGGGGAATGCTTAAACACATGATTAGAGCCATTAATAAATCTCAAAAGGATGGCATTTATAGTCATTTGGATGAATATATGTACAGAATGTGGTGTAACTTTTCTGTTGGTACCTCCTATGTTTAACTGGGAGATGTTTCTATCACATGTGAGAGAAAGATACCCTGTGTAACACTTTTATTCAGTCTTTATGCATTTTTTTTCATAAACATATGTATTCCATACCCAAAAATGCTTCTTTCACGGATTGGTTCGTTGAAGATCGTTCGCTGATTGGTTGGTTGGTGGTGCTTAAAGTTTAACTTCGCCCGGAACTGGATAAGTACCCTGTTAATATCATTTCAAACTGCTTTTATAAATTTACGTGCACTTGCCTGTAGCAAGTAGGTTGAAAGGACAGAAAGAAGACTTTCTATCTGGTTTACAGAATAGTATGCTTAAAGGGAAGCAGATATTCACCAAGTGCAATTACCCGATACCTTGTAGATACAAGTTATTTCGTCGAGATTTCCAAATCTTTCAAAATATTAAGCATACAAAAGACAACAAATTTTCTACGATTTGCTGAAGCGATTTCAATCAAACTTTTCAAACCAAACTTGTGTACACACAGATAGGGAGTGGTTAGTCTCTTACTCCCTTGATAACTTCATTCTGATAACATTGATTAGCCATCCATATTTTTTTTGAATTGGTGACGTTGAGTTGCTATGCGGTGGTGGCGATAGGTATCAGGAATATGCCGAGGTTTATAACTCATGCGTCATTGGACTCCATTCCGGTGGTTGGATGGGCCGATCGGCTTGTTTCATCACCTAAAGGTAGTGTGTTCGATTAGTGGTGCGTACTGATGACGAGCCACAAACCAGGACGAAACATCTCTCCAGTACTTCCTGGTTTTTTTTTCTAATGGTTCTCTGTCTGATGTAAGTTAGTGTTCTCATTTAAAGTAGCTCAATCCTTCAAACATCGTTCAATAAATACTATAATAGTCAATTAGGTAGGCTAAACTTACTGTTCGGCGGTCAGTTTTATCCTTCGATATTTAATTATAGTTGTCTTTACAAATATTTGGTCACAATTCACATCGTTATTTTTAATAAAAATCATCATATATATATATATTTCTCCTATAGTTGGTTTGTAAGGATTAGTTCTGTTTTTTTGACGAGTTGATCGCGGATTGATATCAGTTAGAGAACCATTGAATACCAGGCACAGGGGAGTCCTGGACAGCTGCTGTTTCATCCTAATTCTCTAACTGATAGCAATCCGTGATCAACTCGTCAAAAAAAAACAGAACTAATCCTTACAAACCATACTATAGAAAATTAATCTGATTCTCGCTAGTGACTTGCCGCCACAGGAGACACAGTTTCCTGGAGTTCTAGTGAGAAGTCATGACCTTTGATGTCCATCCAGTCAAGTGTGAGGATAGATGTCCCACCAACGACAATGGTTTAGGTCGCGCTAAATCATGAATTAGTAGAAGTTAGAATTTATGCACTCGCCGTTGAGGAGGTGGGTCCCAGTGGTTGAATGGTATACGAGCTAGCTTGCCTTGTAACCGGAAGATATACTAGGGTTCAAACCCTGTCGGTGGGTGCATACTGCCAATGATTCCCAAACTAGGATGAAACACCTGGTAGTCCGGTACTCCCTGGTGGTGGTTTTCAATGGTTCTCTACCTGATATCAATCCGTGATCAACTGGTAAAAACAGAACTAAAGGAACCAAGTAATGTAATCCATGCAATAGAAACTTAAAAAGACAATAAAATATTTTGTTATGAATGCAATCAAAAGAAGGTGGGGACGAATAAAGCCGAGTAAGCTTTGTTTGACTGTTCTAGTGTAACTATGGAAAGTCATCGAGTTTATCATGGTGCATTACTATAATTTATGAAATAAACGTGACCAATGCTGAAGTATATAGTATTACTGCAGGGACCAAGTTCTTCTCTTATGGAGAAACTCGTTTGTTCGAGAGTGTAAAGCTGAGGTTCTACTGTTCATTGAAGGTTACATTCAGAAGATACATTTGAGGTTGAACTCATTGACAGTCTTGTTATACACGTACTCACTAGATCTGGTATTCTTTATTCTTAAAATCAAAGGTGACATTATTAATGATTTCCTTATCAATATTCACTTGTGTGTTGTCATTTTTAATTTTAGGCGGTTTATCCGCTGGTACTCCAGCATTTGTTATTCAAGAAGAATTTGATCGATATATGGGTTATTGGTGGCGACCAACAATGAATAATGGTAATTCAATACTGTACTCTTTGCTTTATTATTATTATTGATCCCTTAGTATCCGAGTGGAACATAAGGCTTCAGCTGCACATATCTCTATTCTACTCGGCTGGCTTCCATAACTTCCAGCGGCCTTTTATATTTTCTCTGGCATTATTCATCTATCCGTCTATCCATGTCACCCTCTGGCATCCTACCTACCACTTCCCACTTGGGTTCACTTAAGGGCAAGGCGTGTGATATCTCGTTGTACTACTTGTATCCGGATTATAAGTAGCACATACTAGAATATCAGTAGGTTTATATTTAAGTGAGTAGTTGTCTTGAAGAACTACTCACTCAGCGTCTGACTTTAATCCACTAGGCTAGGTATCCTATAGAACATTTGTATATATATATATGCATAAACTCAAGGCAACTTATGTTTCGTCAGAGATTTCAACCTGCATCACTCACTGCTGTAGCCATAGACGTTACCATTCAGCTACCTGAGCACCTACACCACTGATTCAGGTTAATTTGGCGTCATCTGTTGTTTCAATTAGTTTCTGACGTAATTACTAAAACACTCCTATGACTTCATTGTATATAGGTAGCCATTCAGTTATTATAATGACGTAACAGTGCGGATAATTTACACTGCACTTAAAATTTCCTATACCTACTTTCACTGTCGTCTAAAGAAGACCTATTGGTCTACTGGCTTTCCGAAGGCTTTCACCAGCCGGCCTCTTCCATTCTCACAGTGCAGTCCAGAGTCTTCTTAATTCCAGCGAAGATTAAGTTTGTTTTCTTTATGTTTCGAAGTTTCCACAGCGATGAGAGTATTTTTACGGGGTGGAGTCACCATTCCACATCAAGTATAGATGAACATTGGCTTCATGTGCAAGGTGCCATGCAAAAGGCGAGTGTAGCCGCTTGCGGCTTGAAAGAATGCTCCGCTAACAACCACTGGGTTTCTGCGAGTTCCTTGCAACTCATGGATGAACGCCGGTCCATTCCGGCTGGCAGCGAATACAACAATCAGCGAAAGGCGCTCACGCGCAAGATTAGACAGTGTTTACGTAAGGACCGCGAAGCCTGGTGGTCAGAACGTGCGTGTGAGATGGAGTCAGCTGCTGCATCTGGCAACAGTCGGAAGCTGTTCCAACTCATACGAGCCACCGGCAGCAAGAAACAAGGTGTCAGCGAGACGGTCTGTGAGGCAGATGGCACTCCAATTACCAGCCTGAAAAGACGCCTGGAACGCTGGGCAGAGCACTTCGGGAAGCAGTTCAGCTGGCCACCAGCTTCAGTGTCTACTATCATTAGCCCGAGTGCTCCTTGGTCGGTTAGTACCGACCCACCCACCGAAGCGGAGGTCCGTAAGGAACTCCAAGTTCTGAAACGCCATAAGGCGCCCGGCCCAGACAAATTACCCCCGGCTCTTTTTAAAGATGGTGGCGAGACTCTCACAATGGCTCTAACTGGGTTGTTCAGGAAGGTGTGGGAGACAGAGAGTGTACCATCAATGTGGAACGAAGCCATTATCGTCCCCATCTTTAAAAAGGGTCGACGTAATTCGTGTGACAATCATAGGGGTATCAGTCTGTTACCAGTCGCGTCTAAAATACTGGCTGCTGTCTTGCTTCGCAGACTGTGCAAAATACGTGAAGGATTGATTCGCGAAGAGCAGGCTGGGTTTCGTTCAGGTCGTGGATGCATTGATCAGGTGTTCACCCTTCGTCAGTTGTTGGAACACCGCCACACGTATTGCAGGCCAACGATCGTTGTGTTTCTTGATATTAGGGCTGCCTTCGATTCGTTGGACAGAACTGTGCTCTGGAACTGTCTGTTAGAGAGAGGTGTACCTGAGAAATTTGTTAACATCCTGAAAGCCCTATACAGAAACACCTCAGGTAGAGTGAGGGCATACAACCAACTATCACCACTGTTCCCAACCAACAGTGGGGTTAGACAGGGTTGCCCAATCTCTCCATTTCTCTTTAACTTTGCCATCGATGACATTCTGGAGTCAGCTCTGAAGGATGTGCGTGAAGGTGGTGTAGATCTGCTACCTGGAGATAGACTTTTCGACCTCGAGTATGCAGACGATATCGTCTTACTGTGCGATAGCATGCAGGCTGCCCAAATCGCACTTAATCAGTTGGCGATCAGTGTCTGTAAGTATGGTATGTGCTTTGCGCCGTCTAAGTGCAAAGTACTGTTACAAGATTGGCAGGAGCCTGTACCTGCACTCACTCTTGCGGGTGAACCGCTTGAAGTTGTTGATAAGTTTGTGTACCTGGGTAGTTGTGTGAGTGCTGGCGGAGGGGTGACGGATGAGATTTCCAACCGTATAATGAAGGCTAGGGTGGCATACATCAACTTGAGCCACCTCTGGCGCCGTCGCGACGTTAGCCTGGCTGTCAAAGGTCGGGTATACAATGCTTCGGTGCGGGCTGCGCTGCTCTACGCCTGTGAAACCTGGCCTCTCCGAGCTGAGGATGTGCGGCGACTCTGCGTGTTCGATCACCGCTGTCTCCGCAGGATTGCTTGCGTTCGATGGCATCATCGCGTGAGTAATTCTGAGGTTCGGCGGCGTGTGTTTGAACAAAGTGGAGATCACCATTCATTGAATGTCGTCATCTGGAAACACCGGCTCCGGTGGCTTGGACATGTGCTCCGAATGTCACCCCAGAGGCTTCCGTACAGGTCTCTGTTCGCTAGCCCTGGGACGGGATGGAAAAGGCGGAGAGGTGGTCAGTCCATGACGTGGCGTCGTGGGATGAAGGATTTTTGTGCTAGATTAGCATCGGTTGGTGTGTCACGACTCCCTGGTTGGGGTCCGAGAGATAGCTCAAATCGATGGCTCGAAACGTTATCGGATATGGCCAAGAATCGTAATCAGTGGCGAATGTGTTGTGATTTCCTTCCTTCTTCCCTTCCCGATGATAGTTAACGAACACTGTTTGAACTTGTTAAGCATGACTGTTTTCCTTCCAGATGAAGTTCTTTATCCGTTCTCTACTTATATATATTTTTTCTTTTCCTTCCTTTCTTTTTTTTGATCTATGTTGTTTTATTATTATTGTGTGGCGCATCTTTCTTGGTGCCATATTGTACCAAGTTTTTTATGCGTTTAAATAAATAAATACTTTCTCCGCTTACCTCCGGCTAGAAAACAGGGTGGGTTTCAGTTCATATAATGACGTACCCATTGGTTAGGTATTTATACATTGATTTTCAGAGGGAATTAACGCTCATCCTAACTTTTCGCAAGAACAAAACATCACAGATGCTCTCCACTCCTAGTAGACTATAGTAGGCGCATTTGGCAAGAAGTCTTGGTGACCTAATTTTCAAGCTCATCGATACTCATCAGCAGGGCGTATCGATAAAATCGATATCACCGAGTGTTGTAATCGGAGACGCTACCACTGTGCTATTTCGGGCTATACTTATCGTTCGAGGAGAGTTATGACTGCTGGTTGTCCAGTTCTCGACATGATTATGTTACCCAGTGGTTGGAAGTTGAGCACCTAAACCAACGTGTGTCACTGAAACCTTGTGTTCCGCTCGTAACCAAGGAATGTATAATAGTATTAACAATAATAGCTTCATATGCCTTCAGTTGCTTCTTTTTCACTATTATGTTTATTATATTTGTAATTTTTCCCAATGCGATTTTTCCATTATTTTTTGTTAATATCATTTTCTTATTATCTTGAAATATTTCCAGGTTATTATCAATTATTATATGAAGAAGTCGATGAAAGCAACGTCTCTGTAACAAAATTATTCCATAGTGAATATGGTGGAGGTTGGGAAAATCAACATTATCCAACTGCAGGTGATTCCGTGTAGTTTTTGTGTTCTCTTTTTTTTTTCATCTTTCACATGTATTATTCTCACCGTACGTAGTTCAATTGATTGGAGCTATGTTAATTTCAGACAGTGAGGCATTTGCGACAGCCACTTGCCTTTCCCTATATAGTTAGTCGGTAATGAATTGTACTTATTTTATCTGCCGGCGAATGATGGTACTAACTAGTCCCCCAAACCGTGACAGGTGGATGGGGTTTCCAACTTATGCTCCATTAGTTCGAACTTGAGCACTTTATTCAGTGTGAGCTCAAATTCTATATGACACAGAAGTTAATAATGTGTGAAGACAATTATTTTGAGCCGTATTTCTTAGCGTCTCTAGTCATGTAAAGCCCAGTCAAGTTAACTTGATGATGCGTTCTTTCTTCAAACTAATCTTAGACCTCAGGTTGGTTAACATATTAAAGCCGACCGATAGCGCCTACCTTGACACGGTGATCGGCCTTGCATAGGACGATGATTCAACAAGTTATACTGGCTGGAACTATTGTTCCTGTAGGTCCTACCATACTAGGAAGGTTGTTAGGATAGCGATTAGGCTAAAAGCAGTTACCAGTATAGTGTAAGAATTTTTTCACACTATGCTGGGGGTCTGTGGGCGAAGTCTCACTGCTGGGGAACAGGATGTAACAGCAGTAAGGTGTTTCCCTCAGATGGCCAGCATGCCAGCTATGCTGTCTCTTCACTCTGGAGGGAGGGGTTAGAAAAGGTCGATCCCAACAATTGAACATTCCGACTTACCCTACGGTGGTCCGTAACCGGCGGTGAGTTACTAATACACGACCGAAACAAAAAGCCAGTTCATACAGGCCGTGTGTAACCGGCCTAGGGCAATTGTCTCCCAGGCTCTGCGGTCACGCAACACTAACCCTCTTTCTGTTTCAGGTACCCGAAGAAGAATCAGTGACATATTAAATCAAATTAATTGTAGTTGTAGCCAGCCTCCTACGTTGGTAAACGTTTTTGCAACCTTTTCGGCTGATTTACCTGTAACAATTAAGTAGTTGTTCTGTAGCCCTGTTCATTACTACTAATTATTGATTTATAACACAAACTTGGTAAATTATGGGCATCAAGGGAGGTACCGTACAAAATCTCACAGTCTTTAGGAGGACTAGAATACTACTCGGATACCCTGACTGAAGAAGGTGGTTATTTGAAAGGTCCTTGTCCCCGCGCCTTTGACTTGAAAACTGGTCCACAAGGCAGGTGGAGTAGCATCAGAAGCTACGTTCTCATGGTTCCCATGTCATGTAATTAGAGAGCACAAAAGTCATCAAAGAGATCTGTCTTCGTAACTTATGAAAAGAGTTTTACTACTGACCGACAGAAATGTAACGGCAGTAAGGGGCCTCCTTCAGATGACCAGCAGAAAGGCAGCTGAGGGAAGGGATTTAGAAAAGGTCGATGACGAAAACTGTACATCCCGACTTACCAAGAGGCAGTAAGATCTTAATGCTGACGCAACTCCAAAATCTACTACAACGAACAGGTCGTGTGTGACCGTCCTCAAGAGTTGTAGTTGTCCCCTGGGCTCTACGGTCAGGCAACACTAATGGTCTTCATGTTTCAGGTTTTCAAAGAAGTAATCAACTTCCATGGTGCCGGCGACTGGTAAATAATATCCGCTTACACACTTCCATAAACATACGAAGCTCTCCTGATTGTCAACTGACTTCATTTCCATCATCTTAATTTACCGCTCTTCTATATACATTGTGAGTTCCGGCGCCAAGCCAAGTTCAACACTCAAAAACTGAAGGACCAAGATACAAAGGACATCTTCATTGCAAGCATAAAGGACAAAGTCGAGACACAAATCAACACTAGCGAATAGGTCGGCGTCAAATAGCACTGGGACAACTTGAAAACGGTGTGGAGCCAAACCTGCATGGAAGTTCTAGGCAGAAAGAAGAGGCAGAACAAACAGTGGCTTACTGCGAACATTTGGAAACTAATAGAGGAGAGAAGGACTGTGAAACGAAAGATTATCCAGTGCACCGACGAGCAACAAAAACAGGAGTTGAATGCAAGCTACAATACACTGAACAAAAGAGTGAAGAAAAGTGCCAGGGAAGACAAAAGAAAATATTATGAAGCCATGTGAAGTGAAGCAGAACAAGCTGCAGGCAAAGGAAACCTCGCCACACTCTACCAAACAACTAGGAGCCTATCGGGCAAAAGTTCGACACAAATTAAGCCAGTAAAGGATGACAATAGAAAGTCAATCACCAGAGAGGTGGAGCAAAGAAAACACTGGCTGAACACTTCAAAAGACTTCTAAATCGTCCGCCACCTACAACGCTATCAACAATACCAACGATGGAAGCAGAACTACCAGTGAACATCGACCCCCCGACAAAATCAGAAATCCTGAATGCCATCAAGATGCTAAGAGCTGGAAAAGCAGCAGGACCAGATGGAATCCCAGCAGAAGCATTGAAAATGGACCCAGAAACAACAGAGGACTTGATGACGCCATTGCTGGAGAAGGTGTGGAAAGAGGGCAAAGTACATTTCATATATATCTCATCCAACAGTTGTATGACAATGCTGCATGCCAACAGGAAACTTACGGAAGCCTTCGAAGTGAGGGCGGGAGTGAGGCAAGGCTATCTACTATCGCCAATGATCTTCCTGATTGCAGTAGATTGGATAATGCGACAGACAACGGGCAATGAGGAAACAAGCATAAAATGGACTCACACAAAAAACTTGGAGGATCTGGATTTCGCCGATGATATATATCTGATTTCCCGCAAACTGGAAGATATGCATGCAAGTGAAAAGCAACAAGTTGGCGATAGAAGAAGCATCAAAGATAGACTTCAGGTGAATATAGATAAAACAGAGGTGATGAAGATTCCCAGTCAACAGCAATAGCAACAACAACAGACAACAATCAGCATAAATGAGAGAAGTTCGAAAAAGCATCCCCCTATACCTACCTACCTGGGAAGCATCGTACAACGAATGGAACTGACGAGGACATCAAGCGAGAATCGGAAAAGCAAGGTAAGCTTTCCTTACTCTTAAGTCTGTGTGGAGGTCAACAGCACTCAGCGTGAAAACGACTAAAAGATCTGGATTTTCAACTCCAATGTGAAGTTAGTTCTACTCACTAAACGGATCAGAGACTTTGCGCGTCATAAAGAGCATCTCAAACAAACTTCAGACGTTCATTAACACTTGTCTTCGCTCAATACCACTCAAGATCAGATGACCAGCCAGAAAAGATCGGCAACAGGGATCCCTGGCAATGAGCAAACCAAACCAGTAGGAACCGATTGTGAAACAAATAAGCAGGAGGAAATGGAGGTGGATTTGACCATACTCTAAGGAAACAAACCATCAAGTGACATCACTAGACAAGCCACTGCTCTTGAGTGGAACCAGGCCGAAAGGGAAGCGGCGAGTTGGTGGTTAGTGCAAAGGTGACTTGGGGGAGGTCATGTGGAGAGGAGGAGATGAAAGCATGTGGGCAGACTTGGAGCGGGTGAAAAAGTGGCAGAAAACCGAAGGTAATGGAGATGCGCAGCTGAAACCCTATGTTCCTCTAGGAATTAAAAGATATAATAATAAAATAAATAATATACACTGTATACACTAGACTGACTGTCTGGTTTCAACGTAGAACTTTGCACAGATGTGCAACAGTTCGTGTTACCACTCTCCCTCCATGTAGCACACAAAGCAACAGAACAGTAAAGACGATTCAAAGAGAGAGAGAGATAATAAACAGAAGTGTAAGGGAAAAAGAATGGTAAATGATACGAAAGAACAATAGAACCTTATTAGATATGATAAATCACAATGAGTGAATGCATCTGCACCGGGAAATGACAGCGATTTTGAGCCACATCACTGATCGTCCCCAGTCTTCAATGGTTCTTATCATCCCGATGACTCCAATCACCTAGGAAGTCTACACATCCCTACGTGTCTGGCTTGTTTAAACTAACTGCTGTGGATTTCATTGACTTGGTTTGACCACCAATCACTAGCTGTTTTCCAACCTGATCCATCCTATGTCAGCTAACAATGCTTTTCGTCGAGTAAGACGATGGCTAGGCAGGCATGCAGGCATACGTGAGTAACACTGTCATAACCATCTTTCTTAGTCGGTGTAACTGCTTCACAACCTCGTCGATTGATTTCCCCTCCTAACCTCAATACTACTCACCCTATTTTACCACCCTGTTGTGGGAGATAGAACTCAGGCACTTATGATCAAAGACAGCTAGCTGGCCAATCTTTCATGTCTTTCATTTTCGATGATTATGACCAACAGCCAGCCATAAAGGAGGACGGAGCGGACTGCTGAGTAGTACACACACCCTTCGGTCGACAGCCAGCCAGATATCACGTCTACTAAGCCACAGATGACGTTAGTTGGCAGGTAAATACCAAACGAGCCTTGTGTATCCGCGCTGAGATCACGTCAGTGATCAAACCGTTGGCAGCTTCCTAAATAAGTCAGCTGAGCATGATCCACAGATTTGTTTGCATATATCTTCTACCCAATTTCGTGAATTGATTCTGTTCATGTGTTCTTAATTTTGAAGAGTAATTTCAGCTTTATTTATATTTTTTCTCTTCATCATATATGTGTATACTAAAATTATCAGGTACTGAAAATGCTCGGAGCGACTTGAAACTCTGTCAGTTCCAGTTGGATTCAACTGGTAAAGTAAGTGTACAACACATTACTACCCCTTACCTATTTTATATTATTATTATTATTATTACAAATTATTAATTTTTTTTATGACTATATAAGAAGATTTCAGTTGTGGAGTTGGGAATTTATTCTAGAGAATTTTTCTTTCACATGCTTAGTAGATAATAAATGATGCATTAATTGTTCTGGTGGGAAGTCGTGACCAGTAGGTTACAGCAGGCAGTAACTCATCGAAGAAGACATTGAGAAATGGTCGCGCTATGTCGTAAATTGGCAGAAGTTAGAATTCAAGGACTGGCCATTAAATCGGGTCCCAGTGGCTCAATGGTCTACGAGCTCGCTAACCTTGTAACCAGAAGCTCCTGGGTTCGAATCCCGATGGTTGGATGTGTACTACTTAAGAGTCTCGAACTAGGACGAAACAGCTGTCCAGTACTTCCAGGTTTTCCAGTGGTTCTCTAACTGATGTCAGCTCATGATGAAATCATCTATGCAATTAATTGTAAGACTCATTTAAACGCTTATCTCATTAAATTACATCTTCAGTTTGCAAACTCTACAGTTCGAGGTGAGATTTCACCACAGTCTACTCTGTAGACCTGCTTGGTATCATGATTGGTAATCAAGATAATAGGTTGGCATAAATGTGTAAAAACTATATACTACTTATTGATTAGGGTGAGAAGTCTCATACTACTTTTAACACCGAAAGACCTTTTTGCCCCCTTTGAGACTGAGCTCATTAGCGGTGCACCACATTTGACGAGGTGTGAATGCATCCGCTCCGATGGATATGATATTCAGCCATGTTCTCTCCATCCAGACAGTTTATATCATCCTGTATGGCTTAGGGCGAAATCCAAGTCCTCATTGGTTGATGCTGTGTTTTATTTGGTTCACTTCTAATTCTTTTTCAATCCAATCATGTGTCAGCTAACACACTGCATACGTGTATGCCAGCATGTTTGATTTCACGTGTTACAGGTTCTTTGTCGAACTTTAAGTAGTCATTTTGTACGGAAGTTAGCTAGTTCATGTTGAGCTAGACAGAAGAAATCCTTTTTGCACCAGGCTGCGAGTCATCCTAATCATCAGTAATAAATTGTGAATTGACTGGTTGAGTTATTGTTCAGTATGGCTTGTTGTTTACAAGATTGCACGTTTGCAGAATTAATTTCATGTGGGCTTAGCAGGTTTAGATATTCGGGGAATCTGAAACCATGACATTATCACGAATCTTTTGTGTTGGTGTCAATTTTTGATGAGGTGTGATAAAATCATGCTATAAAAGTCTTAAAAATCAATTGTCCACAAAGCCAAATGCCTTTTTTCATATTGAGCACAGAATTTTTGGGCTTCAGACCTGAATTCTGCTCAACCGAAATGTGATTCGGCAATAGACTACATTAGGAAATGGCATTTAACTTCGAAAACGGTTGAAGCTATCTGTGACTTCAGTTCAGTACTTAGTGATATGGTTTCGAATTACTGAAGGAGAGGCAGTTTCTATTCAAGTTTGCACACATGTCCTACACTGACGAGTCCCAATAGGCATGATATCCAGCTGTCTGTCTGTCTGTTTTCGACATAGAACTTTGCACAAATGTGCGGAAGTTCAAGTCGCCACATTCCGTGTAGCACGCGAAGCAAGAGAAGAAAGTACAAGAAAAGCATAATAGAAACAGTGAGCAGAGGTGTGAGACAAAGGAGTAATAAAGAAAAACAAAACAGTTTCATTGGAGATCATAAGTCACAAGGAGTGGATGCATCTGCGCCACTGGGAACGATTTTAAGCCATGTCACCAATTGTTTCCAACCATAGATTTTTACCGTCCCGAGGACGCCAGCCAGTCAGGAAGTCTACACCTTTCTACGTGGCTTAGACCAACTGTTGTGGATTTGATTGACTGGTGCCAAGTTTTTGTTTGACCGCCGCTAGCTTTTTTCCAGCCTGACCCTATATCCGCTAACATTGCTCGTCGAGGGAGGCGATGACTTGGCATACGTAACACATGTCCTAACCATCTCAGTCTTTGTAGCTTCACGACTTCGTCGATTGATTTCCCCTGTTTACCTAGAACTCGACGCCTAACCTCAATGTTGCTCACCTTATTATGCCACTTTACACGGGAAATAGAGCGCAGGCACCTATGATCAAAGACAGCTAGTCTTTTCATGTCTTCCACTCTCAGTGGCCAGGTCTCACAACCATAAAGGAGGACGGAGCGGACTGATGAGCAGTACACCCGCCCTTTGGTCGATAGTCGAACATCTCGTCTACGCCAGAGTCGGCGTAAACTGGCAAATGCGAAACGAGCCCCCTGTATTCGTGCTGAGATTTCGTCAGAGATCAGCCCGTTGAAACTGGCTGATGGTACTTCCCAAATAAGTGAAGCGGTCAACGTGCTCTACCACTTCACTTCCTATTTTTAAACTAGGCGTCGATGTAGTCCAGTCCTGTAACATCATCTTGCATTTGGCGGGAGCGAATCGCATGCCAAACATTCGTAGATTGAGGCTCAAGGTGTTTAGAAGACTCTGCATTTCGTCAGCGTCTTCGCCTAGAAGGACTATATCGTCTGCATATTCCAAGTCAACGAGATTATTCCCAGGTAGCAAGTCAATCCCTGAGTCGCTGAAGTCACTTAGGGTTAAGTCCATTAACACATCTATGATGAAGTTGAATAGAAAAGGGGATAATGGGCATCCTTGACGGACACCACTGGTCGTCATCAGTTCAGATGACAGCTCGCCGTAAGCCCTCACCTGGCTGTATGAGTACGAGTAGAGTGCCTTAATCAGTGCAATATATTTTCTCGGCATTCCCTTTACAGCCAAGCATCTCCAGAGAACTTCTCGATCGACAGAGTCGAATGCTGCCTTTAGGTCAAGAAATATAATGACTGTTGGACGCCGGTAGGAATTCCTATGTTCTAGAATCTGTCGGAGGGTGAAGATATGATCAATACACCCTCTTCCTGGTCTAAAGCCTGCCTGGCTCTCTCGTGTTTGTGCCTCCCGAGCACCACTCAGTCTACGCATGATTATTGAGCCTAAGACTTTAGATACTATATTAGTCAAGCTAATCCCTCTGTGATTATCACAGGAAGACTTGTCTCCCTTCTTGTATATCGGGATAATCAGTGACTTACACCAACCCGATGGGACTTCTTCTGATTCCCAGACGCTGCCTAGTACCTCAGTTAATCCGGACAGTAAGCTGTCTCCACCGTACTTAAATACCTCTGGAGTCATTCCATCAGGTCCCGCTGCTTTGCCTAGTTTCAGATTGGTGACAGCTTTAGTAACCAGCGTGAGCACAGCTGTCGAACACAGATATGTGTTTAGCTAGCTCTTCCTCAAATAGGGATTTAGTTTCCTAATCGAGCTGGGGACGTGGTGGATTTACCGCCAGCTGTTTCCTACGTCCGTTCAGTCGTAAGCGCACACGAGCGCGGACCAGTGCATGGTCGGTATCTACCTACGTGTTCCAGAAGGAGCGACAATCTCCTACCGACCCACGCCAACGATAGCTTATTGCTATGTGGTCTATTTGTGTCCAGCGTTGGTTTGATGATGGGGGTCGCCAGGTTAAACAGTGTCTCTCCTTGTGTTTAAAGTTAGTGCTTACAAGAAACAAATGACTATCTGAACAGAACTGTAGGAGACGGTCACCGTTGTCGGTTCGCTGGCACGGAACTCCATAGGTGCCACCGATAACCTTCTCAGGTTGACACAATTTCCCTGCTTGAGCATTAAAGTCAACAGCTAGAACGACTATGTCTGAGCGTTTAGCCTTTCTCACCAAACTAGACAGCTTTTGGTAGAACTCATCCTTCGTTTCATCTGAACTGCAGTCAGTGGGGGCGTAGGCGGAGATTACGAAAAGGCATGGGCGAGTACTGCAGTCCTTCCTCCTTCTTACTGATCCGTTCAGACGGACAGCACACATTCGGCTATCTACCGGGATCCAGTTAAGCAGTGTCTTTTCTGCCCTAGTACTCAAAGCTATCCCTACGCCAGCTAATCCCCGTGAACTAGCTGTGGTATCTCCTGACACCCTCAAGGTGAATTTTGAAGATTCATCCTGTTGGCCAGGTGGGGTTAGGTGAATAACCACACTTGGGTCTTGTATGCGTGTTTCTGAAACACAACATACATCAATGGCTCGAGATGCCAGGGTCTTAGCTAGTGATGCTTGTTGTCCTATTTAGCAAAGTGTCCTTACATTAAATGCTCCTATATGAAATTGGTGGCGTGGCTTTAGGAGGCTGTTGGTGGTGATTTTTTGGCTTCCATCGGTTTTAGTGTACGCAGAGTGGAAAGGAAGTGAAGAGCTATCAAGCCGAGGAGTTGCATCAGTGGAAGGAAGGCAAGATGATAGAGATGAAGATGAAAACAAAGATGAGTGAGTAGTAGAGAGGTTTCGTGTGCGTTTCGGATTGTGAGGGCGATTGTTACTTCCCGGCTGCCCACACCGTGGAAGTTGGTTGCGTGACCGCAGAGCCCAGGGGACAACTGCTTGAGGTCGGTCACACGCGGCCTGTTTTTGTTCGTTCTTTTTTGTCTGGTGTGTCTCAGTAGCATATTTATCACTTCTGCCCTGTGACACGGCAGCAGGAAGCGCGGTCGTTGTTAATCCGGGCCACGGTCGATCCGGCATGAAATTTTGTGATTTTGTATTTATCATGATGTTGGATTGGGTAGCTGCTTTTTGTTTAACCGCTATCCAAAGAACCTGCCTGGCATGGTAGGACCTGAAGAGACATAAGTGTCAGCCAGTATAGCTTGAATAGATCATTGCAGTGTTCAAGCCCGACCACCACGTCAAGGTAGCAGCTTTCGGTCGGGTATCCAGCTGGCTGTCGATCAGAGGGCGTGCGTACTGCTTAGCAGTTTGCTCCGTCCTCCTTTGTGGCTGGATGTGGGTCATGGTCATTGAAAGTAAAAGAGGCCTCATCACTGAACTACTTGTTTTGTTCTCTTCATTATTTCAGGATTTCATCATGCACTGATATCGATTAGAGGACCATTGGGAAACCAGCTGGGATTACTGGACAGCTGTTTTGTCAGTCTAGTTTGGGACTCTTCATCAGCAGGCGCCCACTAAGGTTCGAACCCCATGACCTTCTGGTTGCAAGATCAGTGAGCCCGTAGACCATCAAGCCATTGCGATCCGTCCCAGTGAATCCATGAATTTCAATTTCTCCCAGTTCGTGAAATAGCGGAACCACTAGCGAATGTTATCCGTGGCGAGTATTTATCCTCACACCCGATATCAGTTCATGATGAAATCCTGAAACCAATCAGATCCCTGCAAGCCAACACCTGAATACCTGAATCTGATACTCACTATAGACTGGTCCTATTCAGGTGGATGTAGTTACCTGAATCCCAGTGGGAAGTCGTGACCAGTGGGATACAGCAGGTCAAGTGTGGACCATTGGAACGGGTCCTAGTGGCTTAGTGGTCTACGAGCTCGCTATCCTTGTAACTAGAAGGTTCTGGGTTCTAACCCTGGTGGTGCGTGCGTACTGCTGGATAGTTGCAAACTGTATTGACGAAAAAGCTGTCCAGCACCCGCAGCTGGTTTTTCAACGATCCTCTAACCCGATGTCAGTTCATGGTGAAATTCTGTAACCAATCAAACCCCTGGAAATCAACACTAGAATATTCATTATTTCCTGGCTGTGGAGGAATATTCATCAATTGTTCTCTTTTCTCTCCTTTAGATGTGCAATATACAAATTCTTTCACTTCCTATGCCTTTAAAACAATATATACCTCAATTTGAATATCTTGTACGAGTTGGTTGGACACCTGATGGAAATTAGTAAGTAATTACATTTTATCTCAGTGTAATTTTAGCCGGTAACTAAACATTTGAATCCAGGGTCCTTATGATGATACTTGTTTTTTTACTGAAAGCAAGTATATTTTCCTACTGATAACGGCTGTACATTCGTGTCTTCATTGTGGCATTAACAGATGACGCCGGTCTATCTCACGAGAGGTTCACATCGATTGGTAGTCATCAGAGATATTTACGAGATTTCTGTTCATCTACACGACAAATTTGCGCATGAACATTTCTGTTTACTCATATGACTCTGTATGGTGAATGATAAGTCTTCTCGTTTAAATTTCATACTCCTCCTATTGGACCGAAATCCTGTTCAATATGCTAAATGTCTCTACAGACTGACTCAACGTCTATCTCGAGACTTACTAGTCTGCTTTCATCAATATACATTTCTATTTTATATATGTAATGGCAGGTTGAACCGATCCACTTTTGTTGATGTACACCGGGCATTGAATCCAAAAGTTTCAGGTTACCAGAGGAGCTTTTAGGATGGAATGTAATAACGCGTAAATTTTAACTTCTTTCAATTTGTAATGTTATAGCGTTGCCCCCCCCATCACCCCTCCACCAACCAGTGTTCATCAGTGAGTATCTAGCCTCACACCACCTATTTCGGTGGACCGACTCCACCGGTCACGAATTATCTTTACATTTTCAAGTAGTTCATCTCATAGTTAGTAATTCATATGAACTGTGATCAAGATTCGATCAATTAGTTCTAAAATAATTGGTCGCCGAGTGAGAAGTAGACATTTGTAAAATATATTTGTAAAATCTCATCGAAATTGAAATGATTAATTCCAATGTTTCCAGTGTTCGGCAATCTGGTTCGAACTTCTTCAGGGAAATTAATCGAAATTAACATAACAGAGGTTTATATATAAAAGGAATATCTCATATTCTTAAAATCTTTGTCCAATCATGAGTCATAAAACACATATAATTTACAAGTATAATTTTAAAAAAATGTAGATTGTTGAATTTGATGAGTGTGTAAAATTATAAAAGTAGTGAGTGTTCACGTACTTGTGTACCTTTTCATCAGATTGCATTCGACTAAAAGTTCATTGTCGTTGATAACTGAATATGCAAATATACTTGTGTGGTATACAATAGTGAGTGTGTGTACCTGTATATGGGCAAACACTTGTAAAACATTTGTTAGATTAGTTAGATTTGATTGATTTCATCATGAACTAACTGCAGTTAGGGAGCCGTTGAAAACGAGGGAGCTCCCAACAACTGTTTCATCGCAGTTTGAAATTCTTTAGCAGTGTATTTTCCCATGACCTAACAGGGGGTCGAGCCCAGGACTTTCAATTCAGTGACCCGTGAATCCTAACTTTGCAGATTCGTGATAGGGATGAAATCACCACCAATCTATGCCATCGATGACCGTCCACTTTACCTTTACATGGCGGAGGTGGAGTCGCACAACTTCTCAGTACAGCTTCCTTAAACTATGCGCAAATGTAAGTGTGGGAAGCCATATTCTTGTTTAGTAGTCCTTAGCCGAAATAACTTAGATCAACGGCTTCATTTGCGAAAATGTGCTTCATTGGCTTAAGTGCTCAACTTTCAGCTAAATAGGTCCTCCTGGGTTCAAATCCAGCTCTCACTGTTTGATAGCTTGAGTAACTGGCTAGCATTGCAGCGGGCGAAGACAAGAGAATTGGTGACGGGCTTTTTTTTATCAAGGATATACACTCCGTATTTATACATTTCTAGCCCATTTAAGGTCAGCTATGTCAGTGGATATTAGACTGTTCTCATTGGTTGTTGATTTTCTGAAGGTTAAACCTTGAGGTGAACAGTTGTCCAATGAGATTGCTTGCTGAGCACAACGTCGGCTAAATTCACATTTGAAGAATAAACACCACTACTTCTTCTGTAGCCACTGACTTGGAATGTTGTTTTCAATTTCGGCTGCTGCTTCCTATTAATCTGCATCTACATACTACTGAAAAATCAATTGGTGGATGGTGACTAGCAGTGGAACCCACTAGGATGCGCATTTCGTCCTATTTGGGACTCGTCATCTGGATACACCTGCATTCCCCAATCAGCAACTGATGGTGTTACCACTGAGGCTCAAACCCTGTGCCCATAGTTTCAAATACCAAAACCTTATCCACAAGACCACTTTGGTCACGAGAACCACCTCTTTCTTGTGCAACGGGTCTTATTAATTATGTAATTCAATTCCAGATTTTCACAGCAATTGTTTAGATGGAAGTGATTGGTCTCAGGTTGACATGTCTGTTAGCTTCTTGTGCAGATGCTTCGACGATGTCTGTGCATGTTACTAAAAGTTCATTTGATGGATTATGACTAGCAGTGGAATCCACCAGGATGCGCTTTTCTTACCTGCAGGTACATCTAAATGACGAGTCCCAAATAGGACAAATCTCACATCCTGGTGGGTTCCACTGCTTGTCGCCATCTACCAATTGACTTCAGGTTACATAGTGTGACATCATCGAAGCATCTGCCTAAGAAGTCAACATGGTCAACACGAGACCGAGCACTTCAGCGGCAGGACCCGACGGAATTACTCCGGAGGTGTTTAAATATGGGGGTGACATACTAGTTTGTAGATTAACTGAGGTACTAGGCAAAGTCTGGGAATCAGAGACAGTACCATCTGACTGGGGTAAGTCACTTATTACACCGATATTCAAGAAGGGAAACAAGTCCTCGTGTGATAATCATAGGGGGATCAGCCTAACGAACATAGTCTCTAAAATCCTAGGCTCAGTAATCATGCATAGACTAAGCAGAACTCGGGAGGAACAGACAAGGGAAAATCAAGCAGGCTTTAGACCAGGTAGAGGGTGCATAGATCGTATCTTCACTCTTCAACAGATTCTAGAACACAGACACACTTTTCGGCGTCCAACAATTGTCATATTTCTTGACTTGAAGGCGGCCTTCGACTCCGTGGACCGAAAAGTACTATGGCAATGTCTGACTGTGAAGGGAGTGCCAAGAAAGTACATTGCACTAATTAAGGCACTCTATTCAAACTCACGTAGTCGTGTAAGGGCTTATGGGGAATTGTCATCTGAATTAGTAACAACCAGTGGTGTCCGACAGGGATGTCCACTTTCCCCATTTCTGTTTAACTTCATCATAGATATGCTAATGGAAGTATCCTTAACTGAACGTAGTGACTTAGGAATCGACTTGTTACCAGGGAATAATCTAATGGACTTAGAATATGCAGATGACATAGTCCTGTTAGGGGAGGATGCTGACAAAATGCAGAGTCTTCTGAACACCTTGAGCAGCAATCTTCGTATGTTTGGCATGCGATTCGCCCCTGCAAAATGTAAGATGCTGCTACAGGACTGGACGACGTCAACCCCTAACTTAGTGATAGGGAGTGAAGTGATAGAACATGTTGACCACTTCACCTATTTGGGTAGTTGTATCAGCCAGCACCAACGGACTGATTGGCGATGAGATCTCAGCACGGATCCGAAAAGCTCGAGCTGCTTTCGCTGACTTACACCATCTCTGGCGTAGGCGTGACATCCGGTTATCAACCAAGGGACGTGTGTACTGCTCATCAGTTCGCTCCGTCCTTCTCTATGGCTCTGAAACATGGCCAATACGCGTTGAAGACATGAAGAGGTTGACTGCTTTCGATCATAGATGTCTGCGATCTCTGTCTCACGTTAGGTGGTTTAATAAGGTAAGTAATGTTGACGTTAGGCGTAGAGTGTTGGGCAAAGGAGGAAGATCAATCGACGAAGCTATAAAGTTACATAGACTAAGATGGCTAGGTCACGTGGTGCGCATGCCTAACCACCGCCTCCCCCGACGGGCATTGTTAGCTGATATAGGTTCAGGTTGGAAAAGAGCCAGTGGTGGCCAAACAAAAACATGGCCTCATCAATCCATGAAATCCTTGACAGTTAAACTGAGTCAGGTAGGGAGATGCAGACTCCCGGGTTGGGGCCCTCGGGACTCTAGGAATCAATGGCTGGAGACAATAGGTGACATGGCTCAAAATCGTTGTCAATGGCGCAGATGTATTCAATCTCTGTAATCTTTCATATTCCTTTCTACCATTACCCATTCTGTTTCACTCTTATATTTGTCAAACTCTATTAATTCTCTTCACTCATCTTCTTGTCTACCTCTGTGTGCTATTTGGAACGTGGCAACTCGAACTGGTGCACTTCGGTGCCAAGTTCTATGTTGAATCCAGACAGACAGTTCAATCTATAGACGGTAAAATCTAAAATTGAACTACTGATAATTCTTGTCAGTAACACAGGCCACAGTGTCATCAACTTTTATGAGAATAAGTGTGTGTGTGGTGGACGGCCTGTCGTTTGGTATGTGAGAAACATTTTTTTTTTGAGATTTAGGGGATTTATCGCTAAGGTAGGACAGAATTGACTAACTTAACGACTACAGATGCACCGTCTAATTGTACATTTACCCTTAATACTAATTATTTATCATCTCACTCATTTTTTCATTTGTACTATGGTTTTTCATTTTTTTTTGTTTTGGTTTTTCACCTACGTCCCCCTCAATTTGTCTTTTTGTTTCCTTTCTTTTTCATTTCATTATTGATTTATACAGTGTCTGGTGTCAGCTGATCACTCGTTTACAACAACGTCTTTCATTGATTTTAATTCCAGTAGATAACTTTTGTTCAATATCCAATGTGATTGTCAATGATCATGGAGCAGTTGCTTCTGCTGCCCCAGCTGCTTCTCCCGCCACTTCCATCAACACATCTTCATTCCTGTCATCAATATCACCGTGTATAGAATTAATTACTGAAGAAGAACCGAAATATTGGGTTAAGGTGATATGTAATGATTTATCGATGATGCGCATAGCATGTTTTTGTTTTGAAATTAGTATCTTTGTGTGTGTGTGTGTGTGTGTGTGTGTGTGTATCTTTTATCGATTTCCGAATCTCTTATTTATCTAAATATTTTGAATTATTCAAGTATTGGTTTGTAGGGATTTGGTTGATTGGTTACAGGATTTCATCATGAGCTGATACATTGGTTAGATCACCATTGGAAAACCGGCTAGGGGGAGTACTGGACAACCAGTTGTTTCATCAGCCTAGTTTGGGACACTTCAGCAGTACGCATGCACCCTATAGAGGTGCGAACTCAGGACCTTCTGGTTACAAGGCTGGCGAGCTCGTATACCATTCAGCCACTGAGACCCGATCCAATGGTCGACACATGATTTCCAACTTCTGCCAATTCACGGTATAGCGCAACCGCGCTAGCCAATGTCAACCGTGGCGAGTATTTGTCCCCACACTCGACCTGGTGCACCCTACTGGTCACAACTTCCCACTGGAACCCCAGGTAACTACTACCTACCTGAATAGGGCCAGTCGCTAGTGAGCATCTCATTGATATTCAAGTGTTGGTTTGTAGGGATTTTGATTGATTGGTTACAGGATTTGATCATGAGCTGAATTAGTTGTGTTCTCTGAGCTGACTGGTTGGTTTAATTGCGAAGCGTTCGTCATCGTCCCCCCCTGCTAGACAACATCTTTCAGTGCAAGTTTCAGTATAAAATGAACCGATTTGAATTCTTTCCCCATGAATGATGAATGAATTGTGTCTCTTGGCAGAAACCATCTTCGTGACTAGTAGTCGATTTACATCTGTATTGGTCATTTTTTTTATTGACTTGGAATTTGAACTTTCTTGTGACGCGATGATTCACTTTTTATTTGTTAGTAAACATCGTCTCTAATGTGTGTGTTTAAATGGTTAGAGGCAATCAGCAGGAAGCCACACCTGACCTAGGTTTCGTGCTAGTCAGCACTCACAAGTCAGTCAGCAAGACATATCTGCAACCTCGAAGGAACTCATGTCCCTTCTGAGATTCTAACCCACATCATCCAGTGAGTACTGCAGTCAGAGACGTTTCCATTGAGCTATTGGGGCTCATTGCAGATACGCCTTGTGACTGGTGAGTGCCAACTAGCACGAAACCTAGGTCAGGTGTGGCTTCCTGCCGATTGCCTCCAACCATCTAATATCATTAAATCAATGTGCACCGTGATGGTGAGCTACCTAGAATGATGGCCACATTGCAAACCTGACTGACAGAATTCAGTCTGCACCAAAGAGAGGAGGACTAGACACATCACACTAGTTACTAGTGTCAAATCAAAATTTGTGTGTTTGTTAATCTCTCGCCCGACCGAAAGCTGCTACCTTGACGTGGTGGTCGGGCTTGAACACCGCAATGACCTAATCAAGCTATACTGGCTGAGACTTATGTCTCTTGAGGTTCTACCATGCCAGGCAGGTTGTTTGGATAGCGGTTAAACAAAAAGCAGCTACCTCATCCAATACCATGATCCAAACAAATTCACAAAATTTCATGCCGGATCGGCCGTGGCCCGGATTAACAACGACCGCGCTTCCTGCTGCCGTGTCACAGGGCGGGAGTGATAAGTATGCTACTGAGGCACACAAAACAACGAAGAACGAACAAAAACAGGCCGCGTGTGACCGGCCACAAGCAGTTGTCCCCTGGGCTCTGCGGTCACGCAACCAACTTCCACGGTGTGGGCAGCCGGGAAGTAACAATCGCCCTCACAATCCAAAACGCACACAAAACCTCTCTAATCCTCACTTATCTTTGTCTTCATCTTCATCTCTATTGCCTTACCTTCCCCCAGTGATGCAACTCCTCTACTTGATGGCTCCTCACTCCCTCTTCACTCTGTGTCCACTAAAAACGACGAAAGCCAAAAAACCACCACGGATAGTCTCCTAAAGCCACGCCACCAATTTCATATAGGAGCATTTAATGTAAGGACACTTTGCCAAATAGGACAACAAGCATCACTAGCTAAGACCCTGGCATCTCGAGCCATTGATGTATGTTGTGTTTCAGAAACACGCATACAAGACCCAAGTGTGGTTATTCACCTAACCCCACCTGGCCAACAGGATGAATCTTCAAAATTCACCTTGAGGGTGTCAGGAGATGCCACAGCTAGTTCACGGGGATTAGCTGGCGTAGGGATAGCTCTGAGTACTAGGGCAGAAAAGACATTGCTTGACTGGATCCCAGTAGATAGCCGAATGTGTGCTGTCCGTCTGAACGGATCAGTAAGAAGGAGAAAGGACTGCACTACTCGCCGATGCCTTTTCGTAATCTCCGCCTACGCCCCCACTGACTGCAGTTCAGATGAAACGAAGGATGAGTTCTACCAAAAGCTGTCTAGTTTGGTGAGAAAGGCTAAACGCTCAGATATAGTCGTTCTAGCTGGTGACTTCAACGCTCAAGTAGGGAAATTGTGTCAATCTGAGAAGGATGTCGGTGGCACCTATGGAGTTCCGTACCAGCGAACCGACAACGGTGACCGTCTCCTACAGTTCTGTTCAGATAATCATTTGTTTCTTGTAAGCACTAACTTTAAACACAAGGAGAGACACTGTTTAACCTGGCGACCCCCATCATCAAACCAACGCTGGACACAAATAGACCACATAGCAATAAGCTATCGTTGGCGTGGGTCGGTAGGAGATTGTCGCTCCTTCTGGAACACGTGTGTAGATACCGATCATGCACTGGTCCGGGCTCGCGTGTGCTTACGACTGAACGGACGTGGGAAACAGCTGGCGGTAAAACCATCACGTCCTCAGCTCGATCAGGAAACTAAATCCCTATTTGAGGAAGAACTAGCTAAACGCATATCTGAATCGACAGCTGTGCTCACCCTGGAGAAGCCTGGAAGAATATTCAGTCAGCTATAGATACAGCTGTAAAAGCTGTGAATAAAACAAATCCAAAGGTGAGTAAAAACCACTGGATTTCGACTGCCTCATCCGAACTGATAGATGCTAGAAGACTTATTCCGGCGAGCTCCGAATTCAATGAGGAGCGAAAGCTGCACAAAAGGAAACTTACTAAAAGTCTCCGCAAAGACCGTGAACAGTGGTGGGTGACAAAGGCGAAAGAGATGGAAAAAGCATTGGCGATAGGCAACACTAGGCAACTCTTTAGACTCATCACAGAATCGGGCGGGAAAAGGCAATTCATAAGTGAGACTATTTCTGAGAAAAATGGCTCCTTAATTAGCTCTCAGGATAGACGCCTTGAACGCTGGAAAGAACACTTTGAGGAACAATTTAACTTGCCTACAGCCACACTGAACCTCCCCGCCATCCACCACGTACCCGAATGGGATATAGACACTGGTCCGCCGTCTGTAGGTGAGGTTACAAAAGCTATCAGTAATTTGAAACGAGGCAAAGCGGCAGGACCCGACGGAATTATTCCGGAGGTGTTTAAATATGGGGGTGACATACTAGTTTGTAGATTAACTGAGGTACTAGGCAAAGTCTGGGAATCAGAGACAGTACCATCAGACTGGGGTAAGTCACTCATTATACCGATATTCAAGAAGGGAAACAAGTCCTCGTGTGATAATCACAGGGGGATCAGCCTAACGAACATAGTCTCTAAAATCCTAGGCTCAGTAATCATGCATAGACTAAGCAGAACTCGGGAGGAACAGACAAGGGAAAATCAAGCAGGCTTTAGACCAGGTAGAGGGTGCATAGATCATATCTTCACTCTTCGACAGATTCTAGAATATAGACACACCTTTCGGCGTCCAACAATTGTCATATTTCTTGACTTGAAGGCGGCCTTCGACTCCGTGGACCGAAAAGTACTATGGCAATGTCTGACTGTGAAGGGAGTGCCAAGAAAGTACATTGCACTAATCAAGGCACTCTATTCAAACTCACGTAGTCGTGTAAGGGCTTATGGGGAATTGTCATCTGAATTAGTAACAACCAGTGGTGTCCGACAGGGATGTCCACTTTCCCCATTTCTGTTTAACTTCATCATAGATATGCTAATGGAAGTATCCTTAACTGAACGTAGTGACTTAGGAATCGACTTGTTACCAGGGAATAATCTAATGGACTTAGAATATGCAGATGACATAGTCCTGTTAGGGGAGGATGCTGACAAAATGCAGAGTCTTCTGAACACCTTGAGCAGCAATCTTCGTATGTTTGGCATGCGATTCGCCCCTGCAAAATGTAAGATGCTGCTACAGGACTGGACGACGTCAACCCCTAACTTAGTGATAGGGAGTGAAGTGATAGAACATGTTGACATGTTGAGTGATAAATCTGCTACTGAGACACACAAAACAACAAAGAACAAACAAAAGCAGGCCGCGTGTGACCGGCCTCAAGCAGTTGTCCCCTGGGCTCTGCGGTCACGCAACCAACTTCCACGGTGTGGGCAGCCGGGAAGTAACAATCGCCCTCACAATCCGAAATGCACACGAAACCTCTCTATTACTCACTCATCTTTGTCTTCATCTTCATCTCTATCATCTTGCCTTCCTTCCACTGATGCAACTCCTCGACTTGATAGCTCTCCACTTCCTCTCCACTCTGCGTCCACTAAAAACGATGGAAGCCAAAAAACCACCACCGACAGCCTCTTAAAGCCGCGCCACCAATTTCATATAGGAGCTCTTAATGTTAGGACACTTTGCCAAATAGGACAACAAGCATCACTAGCCAAGACCCTGGCATCACGAGCCATTGATGTATGCTGTGTTTCAGAAACACGCATACAAGACCCAAGTGTGGTTATTCACCTAACCCCACCTGGCCAACAGGTTGAATCTGCAAAATTCACCTTGAGGGTGTCAGGAGATGCCACAGCTAGTTCACGAGGATTAGCTGGCGTAGGGATAGCTTTGAGTACTAGGGCAGAAAAGACATTGCTTGACTGGATCCCGGTAGATAGCCGAATGTGTGCTGTCCGCCTGAACGGATCAGTAAG